ATCAGACTAATCATTTACTGCTACCGCCACACCCCTCGCCTTAAACAACTGTCTCTGTGTGATGAGAGAACTTATTGTCTTCTATTAAAATCTGTCTGGCACATATTCTCATCTGACATGCAAACTGTATCCTCTGTCATTTGTCTGCTAGATTGGTTGAGTGTATCATCATTAGGGGTGTGAACGTTTAAATGTTAAAACATTTAAACGTTGTTAAAACATTTAAACGAAATTGGGATCCTTAACGTTAAGAAAAGTCCCTAACTGAAAAACAATGTTTTTTTACGTAGATGCAGAAAGTAAACATAGTGGGTCAATTTCCGCAACAACTAAGAGCGTTGAAGGGCGAGGCTCAACTTCTTCGCTGTTTTGGAGCCCTGGCTACCATGCTGTGAACAGCTTGAAGCGAAGCAGTGCACATGCACAGATACTTTGTGTGACTGTGTGAGAGCAAAGTGTTGCATCTTGCTCATCTCAATATCCTAGCCTATTCATTGATGATAGGCCCTGCCTTACTGAAGTTGGAAGACATTGCAAGCTAAGAAATTGCAAGATACATCACTCCATTGCTTTTGATTGCCGATAGATAGGCCTAGTGCACGGTTCGGACTCCGTCTGCCTGATGCCCGACCTGCCTATACTGTGCCCCTCCCCTCTCTCTCCGTCCCTCACTAGCTCGCTATGAAATTTGCAAGTGTTTGATTAGTTGCTGTACTTCCGAGAACACAGTCTCCTCCGTTCCAAAAATACAGATTCCTATCAGAATCGAATCTTGACAGTCAGAAATTGGAGTTGAGTCCGAAAGTTGATGTGCAAGGAGTCGAGGAATCAATTATTTTGGTGTCGACTCTCCACTACATTGTCGTTAACAGTTGGAAAAATGGCAGAGAAAGGAAAGCGACAGCAGTGAAGTCCTGTATGGCAATGCTTTGAGAAGGAAACAAACTTTGCGAGGTAGAATTGAAGTACGGTAATAGTAGTACAGGTGCAATGCTTAACTAAACTCAGCAAAAAAAGAAACGTCCCTTTTTCAAGACCCTGTCTTTCAAAGATAATTAGTAAAAATCCAAATAACTTCACAGATCTTCATTGTAAAGGGTTTAAACACTGTTTCCCATGCTTGTTCAATGAACCATAAACAATGAATGACAAGACACTAACAGCTTACAGGCGGTAGGCAATTAAGGTCACAGTTATGAAAACTTAGGACACTAAAGAGGCCTTTCTACTGACTCTGAAAAACACCAAAAGAAAGATGCCCAGGGTCCCTGCTCATCTGCGTGGACGTGCCTTAGGCATGCTGCAAGGAGACATGAGGACTGCAGACGTGGTCAGGGCAATAAATTGCAATGTCCGTACTGTGAGACGCCTAAGACAGCGCTACAGGGAGACAGGACGGACAGCTGATCGTCCTCGCAGTGGCAGACCACGTGTAACAACACCTGCACAGGATCGGTACATCCGAACATCACACCTGCGGGACAGGTACAGGATGGCAACAACAACTGCCCGAGTTACACCAGGAACGCATAATCCCTCCATCTGTGCTCAGAATGTCTGCAATAGGCTGAGAGAGGCTGGACTGAGGGCTTGTAGGGCTGTTGTAAGGCAGGTCCTCACCAGACATCACCGGCAACAACGTCGCCTATGGGCACAAACCCACCGTCGCTGGACCAGACAGGACTGGCAAAAAGTGCTTTTCACTGACAAGTCGCGGTTTTGTCTCACCAGGGGTGATGGTCGGATTCACGTTTATCGTCGAAGGAATGAGCGTTACACCGAGGCCTGTACTCTGGAGCGGGATCGATTTGGAGGTGGAGGGTCCGTCATGGTCTGGGGCGGTGTGTCACACCATCATCGGACTGAGCTTGTTGTCATTGCAGGCAATCTCAACTCTGTGCGTTACAGGGAAGACATCCTCCTCCCTCATGTGGTACCCTTCCTGCAGGCTCATCCTGACATTACCCTCCAGCATGACAATGCCACCAGCCATACTGCTCGTTCTGTGCGTGATTTCCTGCAAGACAGGAATGTCAGTGTTCTGCCATGGCTAGCGAAGAGCCCGGATCTCAATCCCGTTGAGCACATCTGGGACCTGTTGGATCGGAGGGTGAGGGCTAGGGCCATTCCCCCCCAGAAATGTCCGGGAACTTGCAGGTGCCTTGGTGGAAGAGTGGGGTAACATCTCACAGCAAGAACTGGCAAATCTGGTGCAGTCCATGAGGAGGAGATGCACTGCAGTACTTAATGCAGCTGGTGGCCACACCAGATGCTGACTGTTACTTTTGATTTTGACCCCCCCCCCCCCTTTGTTCAGGGACACATTATTCAATTTCTGTTAGTCACATGTCTGTGGAACTTGTTCAGTTTATGTCTGTTGTTGAATCTTGTTATGTTCATGCAAATATTTACACGTTAAGTTTGCTGAAAATAAACGCAGTTGACAGTGAGAGGACGTTTCTTTTTTTGCTGAGTTTATATGAAAGGGACCCACCTTGAGACCCACACTGTTGCTGGCAGCAACGCAGCTGCATTGTGAATTCACATGGAATTGTATGAATTCTTCTTATATTTTTAACGGAAAATGTAACATTAAGATAAATTGTAAATTGGTCACATCCCTAGTCAGCATAGCTTCCGATAGCTGCACTGGTCTTGACCCTGAGCTCTGATTGGCTATGTTGGTCCAGTCCCTGAAGCCTGATTTGGCTATGCTGGCCCAGTCACTATCCTGGTCCCATCCTGGAGGTCCATGTCACCCACCCAGCACGGTCTACCCCTGGGCCGGTGAGATGGAGGCCCACCCCCCTGACATGTTAACTAGGACCCCGGGGGTCCCCAAACCTCCCTGCAGTTTCTGGAGATGTGACACACACACACACACACATACACTCCCTGCCTGTGGCGCTGCTTGTTATACAGTTGAGCTGATTCCTCACGACAAGCCCAGCCCCAGGTCACTGGAACAGTCTGAGGCCGTATTTATTCCTCTCTCTCTCTCTGTCTTTGTGTTAGCCAGCTCTCCTCAGTTGTCACTAACATTGCCGCATATGCTCCAGTGGGTTTCTCGTGTGTGAGTGTGTGTGTGTGTGTGTGTGTGTGTGTGTGTGTGTGTGTGTTTGTTTGTTTGAGACTCCATGTCATGTTGTGCGCTCTCGCACATGGCGATTTTTCAGATTGGAACTGTGTGTGTACTGTTGCTGTGTAATCTATTATTAAACTCATTTACTAATGGACAATCAGTGTGTGGGACCTTCAAAGGACACACAAAATGTCTGAAAGAGTGTGTGTGTGAATACGTGTGTCATGCATGCTCTCTCAGATGGGAGCCAGTGTGTTTGTGTGTAGCATCCCCAGCATTTTGTGAATGCAGTGTAGAAACTGAGTGTCTCCTTGTCGCTCTCCCACGGCCTGTGTGTTAGTGTGTGTTAGTCAGTGTGTGTTGGTGTGTAATGTTTATATAGGTCATTGTGTTCATGCAGTGCTGTGCAAAGCTTCTGCTCAGCCACAGGGTAGATAAGGGAGTCCTCAAATGCATATTTACCCTGCTGCTCTGCTCGACTCTCCCTCTTGTCATTCTGTGAATCTCCCTTTTCCTCTCTCTTTCCCTCTATCTCTATCCCCCCCCCCCCCCTCCATCCTATCCTCTGCCATTGAGTGATGCTCTCTCTGTTTGTGTTCAGGTCCACTGAACAAAGTCCAACTGATGACATGGACCAAGAGAGGGGCTTTGTGTCCCATAGACCTCGCTCTCTCTCTCTCTCGCTCTCTCGCTCTCTTTCTCTCTTCTCTCTCGCTCGGGGAGCCAGGCCCCCCATGATATAGCCTAGGGGTTGAAGGGTTGTTGAGAAACAGTGAAGAAGCATTGTCGTAAACAAGGGTTTATCAACTCTAGGCCCCGGCAGCCACAGGATGTAACATTTTAGAGAAAGAGATGGTGTGAAAGACTGAGAGAATGGGAGAGAGAGAGGGAGCAGGAAGTTTGTGGAAGCTTGCATGCATTCCTGTGAATAGGCATCTTGGTTCACGTTAGCTTTATTACCCATGCATCCTGTCTCAGACAAACAGCAAAAGAATGATAATATGAATAGTAACTTTCTTTTCTTGATTTATCTAGTGATGATCACATCACTGATAGTAGGATGTAATCTGAATACACATCATTATACTCATAAACGATGCTTCTTAAGATCACAAAGTGGGCCTCTTCAAATGTTATTGATGGATAATAATCTCAAAGCACTATTCACCAATGTGTGTGTACCCCTGACGCAGTGCCAGAGTAATTCGTTTTTGGACCTGTCTCAGAAAATCCTGTTACAGTGTGATTGTCTGTCTCGGTGTACACTACAGTACATCAGGGCCAGTGTCCACAAAGCGTCTCAGAGTAGGAGTACTGATATAGGATCAGTTTTTCTGTGTGGATCATAATTAATAATATTATATGGACATGGAGGACCTGATCCTAGATCAGCACTCCTACTCTGAGACGTTTTGTGAGTACGGGCCCAGTATGTCCTGGTGTTTGTTTACATGGTGTCTGAGACATGATGCTTTAGTCTAAATATCCCCCTTTTCTTTCCTTCACTCCCTCTACCCATGTGGCCATCCTGTGACCTCATGTGAACTTCATCAGGAGTCAGACCAAGGTATGTCCAGTACTGTGACTGGCTCCTATTACTACTGATTGTGTTGTTTGGTTGTCAATGCTGTTAATGTTTCTGCGTTTACATTCTAGCTACTCTGTATTCATGTGTTTACAAAGCAATCATTGTACTTGTATGTTGACATGCACACACACTGTTAATTTGTATGGCATGTTTATCATTGCCAGTGCTCAACAAGAAACACCCAATGGGCAAAACTGGTTGAAATGACGTCATAACAACGCCGTTTCAACTGATCATTCCCATATGTTTTGCCCGCTGAATAACAGCTTTTCTAAATCAGTTCTAAACTATTTTGTTTCATTGTGTCCTCTTCTATGTCTCGTTCCTCAGACCTTTGCCTACGACTACTGTTTCTGGTCCATGGACGAGTCGGAAAAGGACAAGTTTGCGGGTCAGTTTTCATTTTCCTCACGTTAACCCCTCCTCACTTCCCTTCCTCCCCTCTTCTTCCTCCACCTCATGTGTATCTACAGGTATCCCTGTGAGCACAGGATGTTGAAAATATGTTGAAAGGACGTTGAAACTGTCTTTTTGGTTGAAAATACGTATTTTCAACGTCTTGTGCTCAATGGGATAGGTCTGTTCAGGTGGTTTTAGGTATTTTTTCAAACATTTATCTCTACAGTGACTAAGGAATCGGGATCCCACCTGAATTCTCTGTCGTTTACTCACTTGGATGGATCTGCAGGTGGTTGGCTTAATTTAAATGTCAAATATTCCTGTCAGACCTGCTAGTCATCCATCCACCTTTTTGTGCTGTAGGCCTAAACCGAATGAGGTTCTACACTGTTTCTCACACTGTTCATGGATACAGTTTGAAGGTCCTATTTAAATTAACATGCATAGCTTGTAGATTATTTTGTAATTGTGTCTGTGTGCTCCAGATCATTTTCTAAACCACCCCTAAAGGAATCAATTAAGTCCTATTGTACTGTTTTATATTGTATAATGTGTGGTGTTGTAACGTTGCCTGGTGGTTGTCTCCAGGTCAGGACGTGGTGTTCCAGTGCCTTGGGGAGAGTCTTTTGCACAATGCCTTTCAGGGCTACAATGCCTGCATCTTCGCCTATGGACAGACGGGTATGTTATTACGTTATCGGAGAATCTCAATTGCATTTCCTTGATTCCTTGCGTCCTCTCTCCTCGCCTCCTTCTCCAAACCCATTGGATGAGAAGGTCAGAAGGTCACCATTTCATCCAATGGGTAAGGAGAAGGAGGCGAGGAATCAAGGAAATGCAATTGAGTTTTTCCCTATGACATATGCTATGATACTACTGGCTGTTTTGATAAGCGTAGAACAGATCCTTAGTTTATCTGTCACCTCACTGCTCTCCCATTGGCTGTCTCCTCACATCTGTGCTCACCCATTGGCTGTGTGTGCGTTTCCCTCCAGGTTCGGGGAAGTCGTACACAATGATGGGTTCGGTGGACTCTCCAGGTCTGATCCCGCGGCTGTGCAGCTCTCTGTTTGACCGCACCCTGCTGGAGCAGAGGGAGGGTGAAGGCTTCACCATAGAGGTCTCCTACATGGAGATATACAACGAGAAGGTCCGCGACCTCCTCGATCCCAAAGGGTACGACCTTTAACCTCCACTTGACCTCTTGTTTTAGTTATTTGTTTGAATATACTACAGTTTGTCTGTGGCCCCATTTCAAATAATTTAAACACGCTTCCTCCCTTCCTTGATGTATTCACTGATAACACAGTTGTTCCATGAAATACTGGTAGCTTTCACCTATCCATTCATGTCAGATCAGTGATTACACTCTGAGGAAGCGAGTACGTTTCCAAACATGCTTCAGAGCAGGGCCCCAGTGCTTTTGCACACATTTGCACATGTTTGTCTGCTCACAGTTTCTATGGCACCCCGCTTGACCCCAAAGGTTATGACCCCGTCACCTCTGACCCCTGCTAAAACAACCAATAGAATAACAGAGCTGCGTGCCACAGGAGTGGGAGGTCCGACATCTGACGGCCATATGGAGTCAGTCTGCCACATTTCACAGTATCAGGCTGTAGACTCCTTTAGCTCTATACAGATGCTAGAACTTGGCCTAATGATATAACACTTGTATTGATCTGGCTATTGCTCATTCCATTTGGAGAATTGTTGCCTTTACACAGAATGTAGGAGAGTGGATAGGGATACATCTAAAATAGAACACTATTTGAGATTCATTTAGTTACAAATAAATTAATAAATACATGTTTTATTCATTTACAAATAAAACATGATATGAATGTATTAATTAATTAATATTGTTTTTAGATAGAGTATGGGAGCATGATGACTGGATTTCTTCCATAGTAAACCACATTCATATCTGCCATTCCCCCCTCTCCCCCAGGAGCAGACAGGCTCTGAGAGTGAGGGAACACAAGGTGTTGGGGCCATATGTGGACGGCCTGTCTCGTCTGGCTGTAGCCAGCTACAAGGTACACCACAATATCACTACTGTACCACTACCACCACTAGTAGAATGACTACTGATATGACCATGCTACTGATGATATAAGATTTATTCAATATTCATAAGCAACAGAATTGATATGGTATGGTTAATAATGCAACTCCATGAGATATTCATGGTCTGGGTTGGAGAGTAGAGAGGGGTGTGATAGCTGAGAGGTTTGTTAGCTGTTCACATATCAGTGGTAATATACCATGCTGTGGTGTTCATGCTCCCAGGTGATTTTATTAGGTCAGGATGCCTGATGAAGACCTAATGGTCGAAACCTTGTAACGGTAAAATCACCTGGGAGCATGAACAGCAGTGTGCAGCGTTTTCCTTTTTATTTTTAATGAGTTCACTGAAAACTCGAGCACCTGCAAAAAAAGTACCTGGATGCACGTATGTTCTTCAGCTTTTGTAAATGTATCATGCTACCCTGCCCAAGAGGGATGGTTTCTCTGGAGAAAATATATTTGTATGCTAATGAATTCATTTATAACATCTCCCTTCCTTCTTCCTGTCTCCATTCTTCCTTCCTTCCAACCCTATCCCCATCCCTCTCTCTCCTGCCTTCTTCTGTCCCCATTCATCCTCCTCCCTCCATCCACCCCTCTCCGATAGGACATAGAGTCTCTGATGTCAGAGGGGAATAAATCTCGTACGGTGGCCGCAACTAACATGAACGAGGAGAGCAGCAGATCTCACGGAGTTTTCAACATCATCCTCACACACACACTCAAAGACCTGCGGTCTGGGGTAAGACACAGACATACTGACACACACGGAAACAGACACACACACACACACACACACACACACACACACACTGACATAGACACAGACACACAAACCCTCCATCTGGGAGTTAAGCGGACCCCCCCGATCATTTTTATGTAGAAGGACTGGGAAGTTAAGTTCTTGTGACTTTTTAAAAGGACGTTCTACTCCAAAATTAATGAAAATAAAATATAATTTCCACCTCCAGAAATTAGCCCAATAACGTATTGGTAAAATAATTTGTAAAAAGTATTCTAACATACTGTATTGGACCATGCATATAGGCTACGTATCATCTATATTACGTGTCAAACTCATTTCACGGAAGGTGTCTGCGGGTTTTTGCTCCTCCCTTGTACCTGATTGATGAATTAAGGTCACTAATTAGTAAAGAACTCCCCGCACCTGGTTGTCTAGGTCTTAATTGAAAGGAAAAAACAAAAACCTGCAGACATTAGGCCCCCCATGGAATGAGTTTGACACCCCTGGTCCATATTATCAGGTATGCTATTAGCAATAAGCATTATCACCTTTAGCCCAACTGAGCATAGTAGCTATAAATAAATACCGGTAGGCTGAAGAATGGGGTTGCTTATCTGCATTTACCCTATTGGGCTAATCATTAGCTAGATCCCAAATGTGATCTTTTAACTAGTTAGCATCATATTGATGCATTTAATGTTCCCAAAAAATTACATAAACACAGTGAATATAATGTAGGTCTACATGCTAGGGTAACTTGGGGTAACACCGCCACCCGGGGTAATACGCCCCCTGCCTGTACTTCTCACAGAAACCACTTCATGTCACAATTTCCCCCCCAACACTTTCCCTGGTTGCCACTACTCTTGCTCAACTAAAAATGTCATCTGTCTTATCACAATTTCTTAAGTCACTCCAAAAAAAGGATTTTGAGGTAGGGTGGTGTTCTACCCCAAGTGACCCTACAATTGACCTGTGCAACTTCCAGCCCCACTCTCCCCTATGCGCTCATGGCAAATTGCAGAGCAATAGGGTGCTTAACCATGCCGCTTCTTAAAACTCTGGGTTTAAAATGGTGCAGTTTGCGCATATTTAGGAGTTGAAAAATAAATTTAAAGTAGGAATGGAAAGCTGGGATTCCCCTCTTTTTAACAAAGGCCATTAAAACTGCTGTTTTCCATTAGGAATTGTTGTGCATTGTCAGAATGCATCTTTCCCTCCCTATAGCACTTGCAACTTGAATGGGCCTTGTGAGGAATATTTATCTCGCATAGAACTCACAACAACAAGTCGACTAGGTAAATATATAAACTATTCTACTATGGGGTTGTCTGATTTTTCTATTCATTACTCGTTTTGTTTGCAGAGGAAAAGTCATCTTCAAATGTTCCAGAGTTTTTTGGCGTGGCGGCAATGATTTTGCCGTGGTGCAGAGCCACAGCGAAGTGACTGCAGCGTAAACACTGCGACTGCTGTAATGCTTTGTGGAGACTGCATCTTGTTTGTCGTTATATAAAACTCTCATCCTCTCCCACTACATCTAAAGCACTTTCTATCTGGGGCACTGTGTATATAGGCTGCGTTTACATGGGCAGACCAATTCTGATATTTTCTTCACTAATTGGTCTTTTGACCAATCAGATCAGCTATGAAGAAGATCTGATGTGATTGGTAAAAATACCAATTAGTGGAAAAAAGATTAGAATTGGGCTGCCTGTGTAAACGCAGCCTAAGAGTGTCCCAGAGAGACTGTCCTGTCAGTGAGCCCCAGTTTCCACTGTTCAGGAACTAGCTAGTGATGTTAGCTTCCAGGAAAACCTTTAAATAAGTAATGAGCTGCTCTCTTTCTGTCTGGATGTCAGCTGATCTGCTGCTGTCAGCCTGTTCCTTTATTATCCCAACAACACCTGGTCGGTCATCCAACCCTGTGTGTGTGTGTGTGTGTGTGTGTCGGTGTGTCTGTGTGCGCACACACGTGCCCCTGACTGTGTATTTACATGCGTGTGTGTGTGACCTGATCATCCAACCCTGGTCTTCTGGCACAATGTATGAAGCACACAGATTTAATAATGCAGGAGTGGAACAGTTGGTTCTAGTCCAGGTCAAATAAGGCTGTGTTCAAGTCATTGATCTAAAGTGTTGCTCATTGTTGCAGACTGAGCCTCTGTACCACTTTCATACCTTGTTGGTTGTGTTCCTGAATGCAGCCCCAGGTGCACGTGCTGGAATTGAAACAAAGCTAAATATAGTCTGAGCCGGACCATTGAAACTAACACACAAATAAAGGCTGTTGACATTTCAACACATACACACACAGTTTTGGATTGCTATCCTTGTGGGCAAAAAATAATTGATTCCCATCCAAAATCCTATTTTCCCTTAACCTAAGTCTAACCTTAACCCCTAACCCTAAAACTATACCTAACCCTAACCTTAACCTTAATTCATTTTTACATTTACATTTGACATTTTAGTCATTTAGCGACTTACAGTTAGTGAGTGCAAACATTTTTCATACTGGCCCCCCGTGGGAAACGAACCCACAACCCTGGCGTTGCAAGCGCCATGCTCTACCAACTGAGCTACAGGGGACTACATTCTAAATTCTAACCCTAATTGTAACCATAACCCTAAACCTAAGCCTAAAATAGCATTTTTCCTCGTGGGAACTGGCAAAATGTCCCCACTGTCTGAATGTTCCTTGTTTGACTATCCTTGTGAGGACTTCTGGTACCCACAAGGATAGTTAAACAAACACACACGCACAGTGAGAGAACGAGAGATCGAGAATCATTGGGCGTCCTTTTTCTGCTGTTGATGATATGCTTTGTCCTCCCTTCACTGATGGTTTGCATATCTCCATGGAAATTCAGTCCAATGCAAATTCACAGGGGCGTGTTGACAGTGCGTGTAATCTAATCCTGTGTGTCTGAGATGTTGCTTGGGTGTGCAGTGGTGAGAGAGAGGGACGTTTTAGTATAGCATCTTTATAAAAGGTTGACAACACAATAACTAAACCATAGGAAAGAACAACATATTTCCTGTGGAATCCAGTGTGTGGAAAACAGTTTGAGGTACCAGCCAAATACTTGGAATCCTTTTTGACCTAGGTCCACCCCAGTTCATCAAGTCTTTTTCCTTCTTTCTGTTCTCTCTCTCTCTTTTCTCTCGCTCTTCTCTCTCTCTGGGGACAAGGGCGGTCTTTGTTTTCACAACACACTGTAATCTCTGCCTGCTCTATTCCCACTCAGTACAACCCAGGACATAATGCACGCCCCCGCTGCCCTTTGGCTCTCTCTCCCCCTCCCCCACTCTCTCTAATTTCTCGCTCAACTCATTCACTCACCCCATCTCACATTTTTACATACTTTCATTCTCCCCCACTATCTCTCATTTTATACATATTTCTCTTACATTCTTTCTGTCCACTACTGCATTCCTGCATTCTCTCTCTGTTCTTCCTCTGTCTTAAATTATCTCTCCTTCCCAGAACGCTTTCCTCTTTCTTTCTCTCCCTCCTCCCCATCCTCTCCTTCCCTCCCTCCCCCTCTCTTTTCTCACCTGTCTATTATCTCTCCGTCTCCCAGTCAAGCTCCAGTCCTTAGTGCACACATACCTTATTTAAGATAAGTTCCCCGTTACACACACACACACACACACACACACAGTGTTGTACAGCTAACCTTGTGGGGAGACACAATTCAGTCCCATTCAAAATCCTATTTTCCCTAACCCAAAAACCTAACCTTAAACCTAACCCTTGCTCCTAACCCGTAACGTAATTCTAACACTAATTCTAACCTTAACCCTAAACCCCCTAGAAATAGCATTTGACCTCGTGGGGACTAACAAAATGTCCCCAGTTGGTAATTTTTGTTTGTTTGTTTACTATTGTTGTGGGGACTTCTGGTCCCCACAAGAATAGTTAAACACACACACACACACACACACACACACACACACACACACACACACACACACACAGTGAGTGGAGGCTCCACCCCTGCACCTGGGACTGTAAATCACATCCATATGAATGTCTGTCTGATAGTCTGGTTAATGAGTGCTTTCATACTGTATACAGTGAGGGAAAAAAGTATTTGATCCCCTGCTGATTTTGTACGTTTGCCCACTGACAAAGAAATGATCAGTCTATAATTTTAATGGTAGGTTTATTTGAACAGTGAGAGACAGAATAACAACAAAGAAATCCAGAAAAACGCATGTCAAAAATGTTATAAATTGATTAGCATTTTAATGAGGGAAATAAGTATTTGACCCCCTCAATCAGAAAGATTTCTGGCTCCCAGGTGTCATTTTATACAGGTAACGAGCTGAGATTAGGAGCACACTCTTGAAGGGAGTGCTCCTGATCTCAGCTTGTTACCTGTATAAAAGACACCTGTCCACAGAAGCAATCAATCAATCAGATTCCAAACTCTCCACCATGGCCAAGACCAAAGATCTCTCCAATGATGTCAGGGACAAGATTGTAGACCTACACAAGGCTGGAATGGGCTACAAGACCATCGCCAAGCAGCTTGGTAAGAAGGTGACAACAGTTGGTGCGATTATTCGCAAATGGAAGAAACACAAAAGAACTGTCAATCTCCCTCGGCCTGGGGCTCCATGCAAGATCTCACCTCGTGGAGTTGCAATGAGAACAGTGAGGAATCAGCCCAGAACTACACGGGAGGATCTTGTCAATGATCTCAAGGCAGCTGGGACCATAGTCACCAAGAAAATTGATAAAACACTACGCCGTGAAGGACTGAAATCCTGCAGCGCCCGCAAGGTCCCCCTGCTCAAGAAAGCACATATACAGGCCTGTCTGAAGTTTGCCTATGAACATATGAATGATTCAGAGGAGAACTAGGTGAAAGTGTTGTGGTCAGATGAGACCAAAATGGAGCTCTTTGGCATCAACTCAACTCGCCGTGTTTGGAAGAGGAGGAATGCTGCCTATGACCCCAAGAACACCATCCCCACCGTCAAACATGGAGGTGGAAACATTATGCTTTGGGGGTGTTTTTCTGCTAAGGGGACAGGACAACTTCACCGCATCAAAGGGACATTGGACGGGGCCATGTACCGTCAAATCTTGGGTGAGAACCTCCTTCCCTCAGCCAGGGCATTGAAAATGGGTCGTGGATGGGTGGTCCTCTGTAGCTCAATTGGTAGAGCATGGCACTTGTAACGCCAGGGTAGTGGGTTCGATCCCCGTACGTAAAAATGTATGCACATATGACTGTAAGTCGCTTTGGATAAAAGCGTCTGCTAAATGGCATATTATATTATTATTATTATTATTATTATTCCAGCATGACAATGACCCAAAACACACGGCCAAGGCAACAAAGGATTGGCTCAAGAAGAAGCACATTAAGGTCCTGGAGTGGCCTAGCCAGTCTCCAGACCTTAATCCCATAGAAAATCTGTGGAGGGAGCTGAAGGTTCAAGTTGCCAAACGTGAGGCTCGAAACCTTAATGACTTGGAGAAGATCTGCAAAGAGGAGTGGGACAAAATCCCTCCTGAGATGTGTGCAAATCTGGTGGCCAACTACAAGAAACGTCTGACCTCTGTGATTGCCAACAAGGGTTTTGCCACCAAGTACTAAGTCATGTTTTGCAAAGGGGTCAAATACTTATTTCCCTCATTAAAATGCAAATCAATTTATAACATTTTTGACATGCGTTTTTCTGGATTTCTTTGTTGTTATTCTGTCTCTCACTGTTCAAATAAACCTACCATTAAAATTATAGACTGATCATGTCTTTGTCAGTGGGCAAACGTACAAAATCAGCAGGGGATCAAATACTTTTTTTCCCTCACATTCCCCGCCTTTATGTTAGAGCAAGGAAACGGTTGTATACTGCATGGAAATGATCGGGATGGGGAAAATTGAGTAAATCTGACTGAAATCTGTCAATAAGTTGACATCCCAAATAAGCACTGTGTGCAGGATGGGAGTTCTTCTAGCATGTATTGGAACACCAATGATGTTATTTGAATTGAAAGAAAATCTGCTAAAATGACTTCTATCCATTCTCACCCCCTCCTTTCATTTTCCCTCTCTCCCTCCCCCTTAAACCTACCCCCTCCTACTCCCTTCTCTTCTCTCCCCCTCCCTCCAACCCAATCACCCCTCTCCATCTCTCCCCTTTAACCTCTCATCTCATCTCTCTGTCTCCCCCCTCTTCTCCCCCTCACTCCCTCCCCTTCCCTACCTCCCCCCTCCCCCTTAACCTTCCCCTTTCTCTCTCTCCCCATTTAACCTCCCCCTTCCACCGTTTCCCCCCTTCTTTCCCCCCTCACACCCGCCTCCTCCTTGTTCTCTCTCCCCCCTGTCTCTGTAGACGAGTGGTGAGAAGGTGAGTAAGCTGAGCCTGGTGGACCTGGCTGGCAGTGAGAGAGCTGCTAAGACTGGAGCTACCGGAGAGAGGATGAAGGAGGGCAGCAACATCAACAAGTACGTCACTGAAAACACACACACAGGCGCATGCAAGTATGCTTACACACACACACACACACACACACACACAGCTCCAAGTTGTTCTAGTTTTAGCTTCAAGTTCCCAAATGAAAGAAAGATTCACACTTCCACTCAGAAAACATGCCACCGCTTATGATAGCGGGCCGGTGTGTGTTACAATATTTTACCTGACGGAGGGTGTGTTCTCTGTGTGTCTCTGCAGGTCTCTGACCACTCTAGGCCTGGTCATATCTGCTCTGGCAGAACAGGGATGTGGGAAGAACAAGACCAAGTTTGTCCCCTACAGAGACTCTGTACTAACATGGCTGCTTAAGGTAAGACGCACACACACATCTTTTTCTCCTCTTAATAGAACTTCTCTCGTCCTACTTTCACTCTCTCGCTCCCATATCTTTGTTGTTTCCTTTAGTTATTTGAACACATATTAAGATTTGGTCCCGACAACCCTTTGTCTTTCTCTTTCATTCTCCCTCTCTTACCAACACTCCTTTCTCCCCCTCCCACCCGTCACCAGGACAGCCTGGGCGGCAACAGCCGCACGGCCATGGTGGCCACGGTGAGCCCGGCGGCCGACAACTACGACGAGACGCTGTCGACGCTGCGCTACGCCGACCGGGCCAAGAGCATCGTCAACCACGCCGTCGTCAACGAAGACCCCAATGCACGCATCATCAGGGAGCTCCGCGAGGAGGTGGAGAAACTACGGGACCAGCTGACACAGGCAGAGGTGAGGGGTGGAGGGTGGAGGGGGAGAGAGAAGGAAAAAGGGATGGAGAGGAGGAAAGAGGGAGAGAGAATGGGGGGGGGGGGGTATCAACTGACACAGGCGAAGGTAAGGAGCGATGGGAGAAGAGAGCCCACACCAGCTGGCAAAACTGGTTGCGTTCTGGTTGTATAAGGAATTGTTTATTTTTTATTAGTGCATCCAGAAAACGACTGCTTCATCAGGTGTAGCAGAGACCAGTTAGTTGTAATTTGGTTACATGAAGACTTTTCAACCGGAACATCCGTTTACAAATGACATCAACTACCACATCTTGTCTGCTGGGAGACAGGGAAGGGAGACAAATAACAAAAGTAAGAGAGTTGATTTGTCTTGTCTCCTGTCCAGTCTATGAAGGCCCCGGAGCTGAAGGAAAGGCTGGAGGAGTCTGAGAAACTCATCCAAGAGATGACAGTCACCTGGGAGGAGAAGCTACGCAAGACGGAGGAGATCGCACAGGTACACACACTAGGTCACGAAACAGAAAAAAATGCTCTGAAACAGGTACTTTCTAAAATTGTCCAATAAGACACGTATTTTTATTATTGATTTTTTTCACACCATTTTGAAATGCGCCCTTATTAAAACAACCAATCTGAATGTATGGTTTCCCTGTGTTGTGTGTCTTGTAGGAGCGTCAGAAACAGTTGGAATCCTTGGGCATCTCTCTCCAGTCGTCTGGCATCAGAGTGGGAGAAGACAAGTGTTTTCTAGTCAACCTCAATGCTGACCCCGCTCTCAATGAGCTGTTGGTCTACTACCTGAAGGTACACACACACTAGTGGTGCACGGGTCAGCTGTTTGTTCACCCGCAATTCCAATAACCCATCCACAACCGCACGACTATATGTGATAGTGAGAATCTGAGGCCCGCACCCGACCCTAACCCGCTAATATAGAAAATGCGCTGTAGGCTACAGTCAGAGACGGCGTAAGGATTTTTTGACTGGGGGTGCAGGATTTCTTTGGCCTGATTTTAGATATATTTCTGCTTATTTCTGACATTTTGGGAGGCTATTTGTTAGTCAACTTGTCTATAATTAGATACATGCAGCTTCTCTTCTGTCATTATGTTGCCCTAGAAGACTAAATACACCCTTGCTCACCAGAATGTCATAAATGAATGCTTCAGTCTAGTTGACAAAATGAAAATGAAAGCTGAGAAAACGACCCGTCGGCTTGGATGAATATTTGATGTGGTTGAAATGCTATCAGCTTTTATGATGCTAATAAAGACAGCACCTCTACAGACGGTATATAACTTATATATTTATGGATATTATAAGGTATTGTATTCTCTTTATTCAACCTGCCTGCCACCCACCCGCCTTTGATCCACACAATATTTCATGACCCTAAACCCGCCCACCCCGCTAATATAACCGCGGGGACTGCGGGTCAGGAGTCAACCTGCCATTCACTAACACACACACACACACACACACACACACACACACACACACACACACACACCCCATTGTAACATGGTATTGTTGTGTACTGTAGGAGCACACTAAGGTTGGTTCCGCAGACTCCCAGGATATCCAGCTGTGTGGGATGGGCATCCAGGCTGAACACTGCATCATAAACATCACAGCTGACCAAAGGGTGGTCCTCACTCCCCACAGGAACTCACGGTACGTATAGAACACTCCTCTTCATCTCTACCATCATCCTCCTCATCAGTATAATCCACAACGGGGCAAACCTGGATGAGGTGACGCCTTTCCACAACCAAAATCTGGTTTTAAAAATGTCATTGTTACCAATTTTACCCGCTGGCACCGGCTCACACCGCAGAAAATGTCACGGTACACCAGCAGTCATTATAGTCATCATAATTTCAACGCACATCATCGAAATCGGCATTCTTGACATCATCATTATTGCGACACATCTCTAGCAAGAGATTCGGTCTCGAGTCACATGACTTGGACTCGAGTCTGACTTGAGTCTCAAATTTGACTTGAGACTCAACTTGTTAGAAAATAAAATAACTTAAGACTTGACTTTGACTTGGAACCTTAAGACTCGGGACTCGACTTGATGACTTGTTTTGTAACGTTTTGTCGCTCCGAGTCTCAGTGGTTTAGGCTACTCTCCGCACAGCCAGAGACTGTATCGCACTTGCAAAAAAAAAACCAGATAGGCTAGTGAAACGCACACTCGGCTCTGATTGGACCAGCAAACTGTCAATGAACAGTTGCTTTGCTTATTAGATCTGGTCACTTACATAGGCCTACGGCATTGCACCAAATGTTGTTTCAAAACACGTGTTTCAGAACCAATAAATTGCGAAACTTGACTGTTGACCAATGACCAGTCATCAGCATTGGCGCGCAAAGGCGGACTCACAAATCCAGATTAGTGACCAGAAAGAGCTAGTTTAATTTTCTCCGGTTTTGCCTGGCAGAAACAAAGTAGCCTGCCTATCTACATTAATATTATCCATATAAAATACAGTTTAGCAATCTGCTACGGACACAGCTTTGCCAGAACAATAGGCTACCTGTTGATTTCATTGATCATTTTCATATTTCAGATAGGCCTAGTTTGCGTGGGTTATAATTCCATACCTCAATGGTGGTACTGGCTATATATCTAAAGATAGCTGTAACATCACACTACCTTCAATACTTAGCTATGAGATGAAGATGTAACATTTTCTGGCAAATGAATGACAGGGTTTGTTAGTAAGAAAAAAGCTACAGATAGATCATGCTTTCCATCCGATCCTGCAACCTCCACTGCACACAGGTAGGCCGTATGATCCTGCTTGGTCTGGACTCCAGAGAAGTGACAATGTGACATGATATCCCTAGTTGATATTGACTACTAACATGAATGACTTTCAGCTCAAAATGCAGTTGTAAAACACAGTTTATTTCTGTATCTTGTGTTTTGAAAATGCATCACCGTTTATGGCTGTAATGACAGGCTACATTTGCACTGCGATTGTGCGTGCGTGTTCACCCTGTGCGGGTGCGTGCGTGGGGGTCGCAAGCTTTGAACCACTCCTTTTGGGGGGGGGTCGCAGGTCAAAAAGTTTGAGAATCATTAAGCTAGCGAATAGAGTGCTGATTTGCTGTACAGCTAGCTATAGGATCGGGTGCAGTGCAAACGTCAAATTGTAGGGGGAGAGGATTGCCATAAATAAATATGCAGCTCCAAAAATTGTTTGGTGATCAATAATATTAACTGTTTACTTTGCAAGCTCACCAGCAATGGGGCATTAATCAACAATTACTAGCATAGGCCTACTGGTCTTTTGGTATCCCAGAATTGCTTACAATTGATAAAGGTACCTAAAGTATCAAAATCCTGAGACATCCCAGATAGAACCTTATGGCTCTGAAATGTCAATCTGGATTTAGCCATAAGGTTCTATCTGGCACTGCTGAATTAGACAATGTTCCGTTTTTAAGAAGACTAGCTATTTTACCAGGATAGTCAGAACACATCATCAAATACATGAAGAAATGTATTATGCTCATCAGACGAATGATTGTCATCACTGAACAACGATGTGACAACATCATTTACTTTAAGATTATTGCTGGCTAGACTAGCTAGACCATACTTATTGGTGTGTCTGTATTTGTTCAGGCTTGTGATTGGATTGCAGATAGAACCTTAGTGCCAAGTTCAAATGGTTTTATGCAGATAGAACTTTCTAGTTTTTCTTTTTTTTATATACATAAAATGTACTTTTTCAAAAATCTAACTTGACAGACATACGAATAACCATCTAAAGATCTATTATATGTGACTAACTCATTTTTGACAAAAATGTCAGATGGAACCTTAATAGTCCCAACGTCTCGATTTGTAGTTAAACAAGACATTGCATGTATAGATTTTTTTTTACTTGACTTGAAAAAAACTTGTGATTCGACTTGCTCTTAGAATGCACAACTTGGACTTGACTCGAGACTGGAGACTCGACCCGTTCTACTTGTGACTCGACTTGAGACCTTGAGACTTGCTTGTGACTCAAATAATAGTGACTTGGTCCCACCTCTGTCTCTAGCCTCTAGTCACCCCTCTATGACTCTCTCACACACACACACACACACACACACACACACACACACACACACACACACACACACACACACACACACACACCTCTAGACTCAAGTCTGATCTCCTGCTTTCAGATGATGGTGATGTCATGTTGCCTCAAGGCCCCTTAAGAATTGAAAGAACTAACTGGATCATTCATTCATTTTTATTAGATTTTTCTTTAGCCAGGATAGTCCACTCCAGTAACAATTGGCAATGTTTTCCAGGGAGTCACTTGGTTCCATATAATCAATAAAAACAAACATCATAATAGTAAAGATGTTGTTATGCATTTATGTTGTTTTTGCAGAATGTGTCTTATGTCATGGTTACACAATGTTTTTATTATGCTGAACTTAAGTTGTTGTTACATTACAGAACATGTGTGAACGGCTCTCCTTGCACCAGCCCGCAGCAGCTCCACCACGGAGACCGCATCCTGTGGGGCAACAACCACTTCTTCAGGTCTGTATCTGTCTGTCTGCGTCTGTCTGTTTGTGCTCCAACAGTTCTGACAATACTGTGAAATCTCGTTCAACTACTGGTCCTCGTTTGGAAAGAGTAGTACTGAACCCATTCCCTTTCTCTTTCCTCCCATCCCTCTCTTCCCCTCCTCTCTCCCCCACAGGATCAACTTGCCTAAGCGGCGGTCGCGGGGTGGCGGTGAGGAAGAGGAGGGTGAGGGGGGCCTGATGAAGAACAGTAGCAGTAGTGAACAGCTGGATGGGGACGGAGACACCAACAGTGAGGTGTCCTCCGAGGTCTCCTTCTCCTACGAGTTCGCCCAGACAGAGGTCATGATGAAGGCCCTGGGCAACAATGGTGAGGGCACACACACACAGGTCCTTGTAAACAACGATGAGAATGGAGGGATGTGTATGAAGGAGAGGGATGGAGGGAAAGGAGGAAGGGGGAAGGAACATAAACACCTTCAGAAACAAATGTGTCGATAATCATCGATTGACTACGCAACTGCTGTCTGTCACACTGCAATCACGATTGGTTGCTCATCCGAAACCCCCGTCCCTGATTGGCTCTCGCCCCTGTCCGTCACCTTCAGACCCCATGCAGGCGGTGCTCCAGTCCCTAGAGAGGCAGCACGAGGAGGAGAAGCGCTCGGCGCTGGAGAGACAGAGGCTGATGTACGAACAGGAGCTGCAACAGCTGAGGAGACGGCTGCACCCGGACAGACAGTCTGTAGGGCAGACTGGCACGGCCCCCAGCCAATCACAGGGCCAGGCCGACAGGCCGGGACAGCCCCACTACCGCAGCCTGGAGAGACTCAGCATGGGAGGCATGTCCAACTCACCTAGTGCACAGAGCAGGCTGAGGCAGTGGAGCGAGGAGAGGTGAGTGGTGGGGGAGGGAGGGTGGGTGGGGATGTCTGTAAATGAGTTATATTGTCAGTGATATTGACAGTAGTGATGATGGTCTCCATTCTGTAGAGGTAGTGTTGACACGTGTGTGTGATTAAATATGATGATGATGATGCTCTTTCTCTCACTCTCGCTCTCTCCCCCCACCCCCTCAGAGAGGCAGTGTTGACCCGGAGCCTACGTAAACTGAGGGAGCAGATAGTGAGAGCTAACCTGCTGGTGCAGGAGGCTGGCTTCATAGCAGAGGAGCTGGACAAACGCACAGAGTACAGAGTCACCTTGCAGATACCTGCTGCTAACCTCAACGCCAACCGCAAGGTACACACGCACGAGCATTAACACACTCACCTGGTGCTGTGTACATAAACACACACCTAACCCCCAGCCCCCTGGCTGTTTCTCCCTCCTCATAGCGTGATGCAGTGCTGAGTGAGCCTGCGGTGCAGGTGAGGCGTAAGGGGAAAGGGAAACAGATCTGGGCGCTGGAGAAGATGGAGAACAGAATGGTGGACATGAGAGAACTCTACCAGGAGTGGAAGGACTACGACGACAACAACCCTGTGAGTTCTAACGACCTGTGTGTGTAGGTGTGTGAGGGTGTGTGTGTGTGTGTGTACGTGGTAAACCTTTAAGCCAGGTCAGTGTTGATGGAGTGTGTGGCGGGGAGAGAACTTGGACTACAATGAAGGCGAACCCTGAGAGACAAATCATGGTTTTTGCGTAATATCCAAATGGAGTGCATTTAGTAGTCCTCTTTTTTTCTAGTCCATTCAGATGTACGCAAATGCAATGTAAAGTGGAAGGGCTCCATCGCTCATTTCTCTCTCGCTCTGTCATCTGCAGGTGATGCGTTCTTACTTTAAGCGTGCCGACCCGTTCTTTGACGAGCAGGAGAATCACAGTCTGATAGGCGTGGCCAACGTCTTCCTGTCCTGTCTGTTCTACGACGTCAAGCTGCAGTATGCAGTACCCATCATCAACCAGAAGGGGGAGGTAAAGAGACAGGCTTCAAGTGCTACATAACACCAGGGTCGTGTTCATTCGGCATTGTGTAGCGAAGCGTTTTTGCAATGGAATTAGAAAACAAGCGTTTCTCATTGGACAAGTCAGTTTTATTCCGTTATCGCCGAATGAATATGACCCTGTTTCTCAACCTGTGATGTCCAACTCTTGTGCTCCAGCCCAGCAGTAACACACCTGATAAAACAAATAGTCTTCTAGCTTGATGACTGCGCTGAGTCAATTGTTTGAAGGAACGAAGTGTCTTGGTGATGTGCTAAAATGAAAGCCTCATATTGTGGAACAGTGATGATGCAGTACAGAATGCCCCCGTGTTATGAAATGATTTCACCCGTGCCGTTGGTTTTCTTGTAGGTGGTTGGGAGATTACACGTTGAGGTGGTGAGAGTGGCGGGGGGGGTTGAGGACAGCATGGCTGGGGGAGAGGATGAGGCCAGCCCTGATGGAGAGGTGCAAGAGAGGAAACTGGTCTGCATGGTGAGTCTATTTCGGATAGGGAGACACTCGTACACACGCATAGAGAAAAGTCCCTTTTTATATGGCTCTTCTGGCTCTCTAAAAATGGAAAGCAATATAGTTTACTCATTCTCTCTTAAACCTATTTAATCCCCCCCCGTTCCTCTCCTCCAGATCAAGATCCTGCAGGCGACAGGTCTCCCCCAGTACCTGTCCAACTTTGTGTTCTGCCAGTACTCGTTCTGGGACCAGGCGGAGCCCGTCATCGTGGCCCCAGAGGTGGACCCCTCCGCCTCGTCCCCCAGCAGCAAGGAACCGCACTGCATGGTGGTTTTCGACAGCTGCAAGGTATGACATTCAATTCAATGAAAAGTACTTGTATTGCCAAAGCAACAATGTTGAACAGTCCAACAGGACATAAGACATTTACATTTCAGTCATGTTGCAGATAGCGTATGTAGCTCAGGATGAATCAGGTAGCCTGGTTAAACTAGTGGTGAGTGCAGTGTTCAGTCTGGATTAACCAGGACCCTTCCTATCTCCTTACAGCATTTGTATTGTTTCCGCTCTAGTGTGTTAATGTAATGCTAATTCACCTCTGTTCTTTCAGTGGTGGTCTATGCTATTATTTCTGCCCTTTCCAATGCTGTTTTTCTTTCTCTCTGTCTCTCTTTCTCTCCCTCTCTGTCTCTCTATAGGAGATAGGTGTGGCGGTAACAGAGGAGTTTATAGAGTATTTGACTGAGGGGGCAGTGGCCATCGAGGTGTACGGACACAGACAGGCAGACTCCGGCAGGAACCCTGCCCTCTGGGACCTCAGTATTATACAGGCCAAGACACGCACACTACGGGACAGGTACACACACACTCATGGACAGGTACACACACACTACAGGACAGATACACACACACACACCCAAGATACGGGTATATGGTACACTGTACGGGTCAGCTATACACACACACACACACACACTACAGGACAGGTACACAGTACAGACACACTAAACACACACACACGCTCATACAGAGTGATACAGGTTCCATTTCTACATTAAAGCAACCTTCTAAATGACATCATGTCCTGTGTATGTGTCTCCACCTGCAGGTGGAGTGAGGTAACGCGTCGTCTGGAGATGTGTATCCAGGTGTTGGAGATCAACGAGAACGGGGACTTCATGCCTGTAGAGGTCATACCTGCCAGAGATGTACGCACCGGGGGCATATTCCAACTACGACAGGTAAGTGTTACCTGTGTGTGTGTGTGTGTGTGTGTTAGATTTTTTTCCATTTTCTCCTGCCAATGTAATGCTGTAATTTAGTTTATATCTATTCAGGATTTTTTCTTGTCATTGCAATTTTAAGTAAATACATATTTTTCCCTGCTTAATCAGCAATTCCAAGTTGTTCTTATCTCAGAAAATAGCATTTCATACAGTGCCTTCAAAGTATTCACACCCCTAGACTTCATCCATATGTTGATGTGTTATAGCCTGAATTTAAAATGGATTCAATTGAGATTTTTGGTCACTGGCCTACCCCATAATGTCAAAGTGGAATTATGTTTTTCAATTTTTTTTTCATATTAATTAAAAATTAAAAGCTGAAATGTCTTGAGTCAATAAGTATTCAACCCCTTTGTTATGGCAAGCCTAAATAAGTTCAGTAGTAAATATTTGCTTATCAAGTCAAATAATAAATTGCAAAAAACACTATTATTGCACTCTGTGTGTAATAATAGTGTTTAACATGATTTTTGAATGACTACCTCATCTCTGTACCCCACATATACAATTATCTATAAGGTCCCTCAGTTGAACAGTGAATTTCAAACACAGATTCAACCACAAAGACCAGGGAGGTTTTCCAATGCCTTGCAAAGAAGGTCACCTATTGGTAAAGATAAAAAAAAAATCTGACATTGAATATCCCTTTGAACATGGTGAAGTTATTAATTACACTTTGGGATGGTGTATCTATACACCCAGTCACTACAAAGATACAGGCGTCCTTCCTAACTCCATTGCTGGAGAGGAAGGAAACCACTCAGGGATGGATTTCACCATGAGTCCAATGGTGACGTTAAAACAGTTAGTTTTATGGCTGTGATAAGAGAAAACTGAGGATGGATCAACAATATTGTAGTTACTCCACAATACTAACCTAATTGACAGAGTGAAAAGAAGGAAGCCTGTACAGAATACAAATATTCCAAAACATGCATCCTGTTTGCAACAAGGCACTAAAGTAATACTGCAAAAAAAAATTGCAAAGCAATTCACTTTTTGTCCTGAATACAAAGTGTTATGTTTGGGGCAAATCCAATACAACACATTACTGAGTACCATTCTCCATATTTTCAAGCATAGTGGTGGCTGCATCATGTTATGGGTATGCTTGTAATGATTAAGAATTTTTCAGGATTAAAAAGAAACGGAATGGAGCTAAGCACAGGCCAAATCCTAGAGGAAATCCTGGTTCAGTCTGCTTTACACCAGACACTGAAAGATGAATTCACCTTTCAGCAGGACAATAACCTAAAACACAAGGCCAAATCTACACTGGAGTTGCTTACCAAGAAGACAGTGAATGTTCCTGAGTGACCGAGTTACAGTTTTGACTTAAATCTACTTGAAAATAATGGCAAGACCTGGAAATGGTTGTCTAGCAATGATCAACAACCAATTTGACAGAGCTTGAAGAATTTTGAAAAGAAAAATGGGCAAATGTTACAAAATCCAGGTGTGGAAAGCTCTTGGAGACTTACCCAGAAAGACTCACAGCTGTAATCACTGCCAAAGGTGCTTGTACAAAGTATTGACTCAGGGGTGTGAATACTGAAATGAGATTTTCAGCATTTCATCTTCAAAAAATTTGCTAACATTTTTGAAAACACATTGTTATCATGTGTAGATGGGTGAGAAAATAATATATTTAATCCATTTTGAATTCAGGCTGTAACAACAAACTGTAGAATAAGTCAAAGGGTATGCATACTTTCTGAAGGCACTGTACATCTACCATTTGAAATGAACAAGCAACTTTCTATATTGTGTTGATGCCATGTGTGTCCCTCGGGGCCAGTCCAAAAGCATGTCATGGAATGGTCTTACCAAGAAAAACGTCCAAAAGGACTAATTCGAGGTCGAAAGGAGCTCACTTTAATCCATTGTACAGGATGCGAACAGGTGACTGACGTTCAGAACTCTATCTTCATTCCCTCTATCCCTCTCCTTCACCCCCACCCGCAGGGCCAGTCAAGGCGTCTGCAGGTGGAGGTGAGATCCGTGCAGGACAGCGGCACCATGCCCCTGATAGCTGAGGTGCTGTTGGCCGTGTCCGTGGGCTGTGTGGAGATCAGACAGACATGCCAGGCCAAGGCCAACAACGAACCCATACAGGTAACACACATACATTACTATACAGGAAGAAAGAAATGGCTGCCATTTACGAAAGTGTTTTGGACTAATACTATTGTGTATTTTGTTGTTTGTCTCACAGGTGGAGGGTGATGAGATGGACAGCTATCAGGTAAATAACATTTAGATTATCTCTACTGAGAGACAGATAGTGGTAAGACTCAATGATTGCTTCTGGCGCTATATCTGATTGGTTGGTGTGTGTTCTGTCCAATAGGAGCGTGATCTGGAGCGTCTGCGTCACCAGTGGCTGACGGCTCTCACCAAGCGACAAGAGTACCTGGACCAACACCTCCAGACCCTGGTCAGCAAGCCAGGTAACACACACACACAACAGTCAATGTGTAGTGGAGGAAGTACTGTATAAGTTTGGGCGGCAGGTCAAAGGGCACGGGAAATGAGGTAGAGGAAGTGGTGGCAGGAATCACATTCCTCTGATTGACTACACATCTGTGTAAAACATCTGTGTGGAGTTGAGGAAGAAAGACATTGACATTGTTGTGCTCCCTCTACAGAGAAGACAGAGGAGGACGTGGAGAGGGAGGCCCAGCTTTTGGAATGGCGTCTGACTCTGACCGAGGAGAGGAACGCGGTCATGGTGCCTTCAGCTGGCAGCGGCATCCCAGGAGCTCCCGCAGAGTGGTGAGAGAGACCGGGAATGTGCGTGTGTGCGTGTTTGCAAGCGATTTGGATCTAGATGGAGATGTAAAAGGATCAAACCGTTTTCCTATGGGAAATGTCCATATTATTCAACAAGTGTCTTTGTTTAATTTCTTTGTTTCTCCAGGGTCCCCCTACCTGGAATGGAGACCCATACCCCTGTGCTTTTCCTGGACCTTAGTGGTAAGTTCTTTCTCTACTCTCTTCTTTTCTTCGTTCTCTCTTTTCTGACTGTTCTAGAGTGACATTACGTCAATCATTGAATTGTCACTTTCATTCATCTAGTAGTGAATGTCTTTCTCTTATCCTCTCTCTCTCTCTTTCCCTCTCTCTCTCCCCCTCTCTCTCTCCAGCGGATGACTTCAGTTCCCAGGACGCGTTGGAGGTCCCGGAGGCGGGTGGTTGGGACGCCACTCTGAGCGGAGAGGACGAGGACGACTTCTTCGACCTGCAGATTGTCAAACACTACGATGGAGAGGTAGGCACCGGGTCCTATTCATTAGGGCTTACCGTAGAAAAACGTTTTACAACGGAAAACCAAAACGAGCATTTCTCATTGGGCAAGTCCAAGTAGTCCCTCTCCGTTTCAGTCGGCTCTCTTCCATATGATCCCTAATGAACACAACCCTGCTCCTCCCCATCCCCTCTCCACTAGGTAAAAGCTGAGGCGTCATGGGACTCCACAGTGCATGAGTGTCCTCAGCTGAGCCGCGGCGGAGCGTGCCCAGAGCAGAGGGTGTATCTGACGGTACGCTGCGTGGTGCAGCTCAGCCACCCGGCAGACATGCAGCTGGTGCTGAGGAAACGGATCTGCGTCAACCTGAACCCGGGAAGACAGGGCTTCGCCCAGAACCTCCTGAAGAGGATGTCCACGCGCTCCACCATCTCCGGCTGTGGGGTCACCTTCGAGGTGGTCTCCAACATCCCCGGGGTAAGCCATACAGGAGGGACACAGGAAATGTTATGATTTATAATCAGTTACCATGGCTCTTTTTTGTAGTAACTTACTACAATCACTATAGCTCTCAGTTGTCTAAAAGTCTGTCCTCTCCTTCATTGCACAGAATTGAAGGTGATAAGCCAACCTAATGATGCCCTTGGCTTCCACCATATTGTTTTCCTCTGTCAAGTAGTGTATTTTAATAAAGTATAATAATATAATATGCCATTTAGCAGACACTTTTGTCCGAAGTGTCTTAGTCATGTGTGCATACTTCTTACGAATGGGTGGTCCCGGGAATCGAACCCACAACCCTGGTGTTGCAAGCGCCATGCTCTACCAACTGAGCCGACCAGTGCCAATGAAGGGGAGGAGATATTTTAGCTTTTTGGCAGCTCTACTAACTCTCCCGTCTCCCTCAGGATGCCCAGGGTTCAGAGGACAGGGAGATGTTGGCTCGTCTAGCTGCCAGCGCTGAGAACCCCAAGTCGGCCGACAACGAGGCGGCCATCGAGAAATACCTCCGCAGTGTCCTGGCCGTAGAGAACATCCTCACTCTGGACCGCCTACGACAGGTCACTACACACTTAGCACTTGGGATGGACTGTGTTGAATGTCTGTGTTGAGTTAGAAATGTTTTCAGTGCTTATAAGTTTAACCTGCTAAATAGTTGCATTTGTACATTTTGAGTACTTGTATTCAATTATTAGTAAACCAATAGAAACCTTTAATCGAGTACTCGAGTACTCGTGCCTTTCCCCACTACACACTAGGACCCTCTACATGCTTAACACTTAACATTTGTATTGGTCCATCGCTGCACAATTCAGTACTGTTGCTTCTATTGCCTGTTCCTGGTTTTGACTGTGTTTGATTGTGTGTGTGTGTAGGAGGTGGCAGTGAAGGAGCACCTGGCAGGCAAAGGGAAGGGCAACAGACGCAGTCTCAGCTCCCCCAGTGTACACAGGGTAAATGGCACATTCTCTCTACAAAAGTCATGTCTGTTGGGGTACTGGGTCCTTGCTATATTGATTTATTTAATAGGTTTAGGCAGCAGAGGTCATGACATTTCTTTTTTTTCTCTCTCTCCCTTTTTCTCTTTCTCTTCTTCAGCTCTCTGGCAGCAGACAGGAGCTGTCTTCTACCTGCAATCTGGATGACAACAAGGTGATAATACAACCCTGTTGAAGCTATACAACTGTTAGTGTTCAAACTGAACAACTCCAGAGCCCAAAGTACATAAATCAATCCTCACATCTTTTAATTCTCTCTCTCTCTCTGCTGTTCTTTCCTCTCTTCTGTCCTCCAGAGTCGCTGGGAGAGCCAGCAGGACATCTTCATCACCTCGCCCCAGTTCAGCCGGACTCTGCCTCGCCCCTCGCCCTCCTCCTCCCCCCCCACCATGCCCCCCCAGAACCAGAGCCAGGACCCAGAGCAAGGTAAGGCACTGACTCCTCCCTCTACACTACTACTCCCCCCCCCCCCCCCTCCACTCTCTACCTTTCTCCCCCTGAAACTGCTAACTGGCTGACTACCTCAGTCTTGAACTTCACTCTCTCTCTTCTCCTGTCATCCTTGTATTTTCTGTGCAGTAGACCTCTGGTGTGATTCAGTCTGTCTGTCTGTCCTATCTACTAGGGTTGTATCTTATGTTTAAACTGTGTTTTAATTCTGTTTGTGTGTTCGTGCCAGGGTTTCCGTGAATCGGTAATTGGGGGGGAGAGTATTTCTGTCTAATAAAGCCCTTTTGTGGGTAAAAACTAATTCTGATTGGCTGGGCCTGGCTCCCTAGCAGAGTATGTGAGCGGAGCGTGCCCAATTTGATTGGAGTGCGGAGTTAGATTTCCAAAGGCTGGAGCGTCGGCCTTCTACTCGCCTGCTCCAGTAGCGCTCCAGTAGCGCTCACGTCACGAGCTCAGGGCATACCTGGCCCAGCATGCATTTGTAGTCTACTTGTGTGCTGCTATAGTCCCTTGCTTTAGCTACTGTCATGGAGTTCACTAAATATTTTTTATAAAGAAACTGATAGAACACACAGGTGCTAAATCAAGGTGACTTACAAAGATGAGGACCAAGAATGAGAGAGGGAGTGTGGTGATGTAATGTCCACAACTAAAGAATCATTGTGGAATCTGAAAAGACACGTATCCCGAAAGCATGATGGTGTACTTACTACATGCACATGCTAACAGAAAGGAACGAGGTGGGTAGATAACTAAGCGTGTATTTGTAGCAAAGTATTTATGAACTAAAAATCAGATCTCTTAAACGTTGCGTTCATTTTCGTTCTATTATCTATACAATAGGCCATAAATGATTTTGGCCCAATAGGCCTGGTAGATTCCCCTGTTCAAGGAGCTTTCCGTTTTGATTGGGTTATTTTGCCTAAAAACCTTTAGGCCTACCTATAGAAAAACTCTGCATCTCTGCCCAGCCTGGCAAGAATGGCCAAAAGGTGTTTAGCATCCCCAGTGGCTCTGGAGGGGTGGAGAGGATATTCTCTGCTGCTGGCCTGCTCTCCAGGCACCATCGCATGAGCCTGAAGCCACAGACTGGCCAAATTCATGTTTCTAAAAATGAATTCAAAGGCACTAATAAGTCATTTTTCGTTTAATTTGTATTTACTTCTAAGTAAGTCATAGCCTGTATGCGCAATTTATAGACTATAATGATTTAATACAACTAAATGTTGTCTATATGCTGAGAGCTTTACGTCCCTACCAGCCTGTTGTGTCACACTCACAAATGCTTCACAATGTATTGCTTTGTAGGCTATAGCCTTGAAATAATTGAAATAGTAGCCTAAATAATTCATTTTCGTTCCTTCTTAGGCTCCCTGTCTGGCACCTGACCTATTTAGAGTGTTTATATACTGTTTAATATGACATGTAGCCTATTTGAAATAATGTGTCTTACATTCACCTTTTTTATGTTTATTCAAATACTTTTCATTCAAATCCATATGGTTTGGTTTCAATACTTCAAAACCAAATGGTAGGTCCAGGTCGTCACAAAAATAGATGGGTGTTGGTTAAATTGTGATTTTAATGAATGGAGCGAATTTGGAGCTGCATTTTTTTCCCCCTGTGAGCGTGGAGCGGTTTTTAGCGGAGCAGTTGGACCGGAGCGCTCCATGAGCGCTGAGAAGGATTTCCAACTGCTCAACTCCGCTCACATGCTCTGCTTCCCAGTGGGTGGGCCTGGCTCCCAAGTGGGTGGGCCTATGCCCTCCCAGACCCACCCATGGCTGCGCCCCTGCCCAGTCATGTGAAATCCATAGATTAGGGCCTAATTTATTTATTTCAATTGACTGATTTCCCTATATGAACTGAAATTGTTGCATGTTGCGTTTATATATTTTTTCAGTATAGTTAACTACCTGCCCTAATGGGTTACGCACCCAATGCATATACAGTGGGGAGAACCAAGTATTTGATACACTGCCGATTTTGCAGGTTTTCCTACTTACAAAGCATTTAGAGGTCCGTAATTTTTATCATAGGTACACTTTAACTGTGAGAGACGGAAAATCCAGAAAATCACATTGTATGATTTTTAAGTAATTCATTTGCATTTTATTGCATGACATAAGCATTTGATCACCTACCAACCAGTAAGAATTCCGGCTCTCACAGACCTGTTAGTTTTTCTTTAAGAAGCCCTCCTGTTCTCCACTCATTACCTATATTAACTGCACCTGTTTGAACTCGTTACCTGTATAAAAAGACACCTGTCCACACACTCAATCAAACAGACTCCAACCTCTCCACAATGGCCAAGACCAGAGAGCTGTGTAAGGACATCAGGGATAAAATTGTAGACCTGCACAAGGCTGGGATGGGCTACAGGACAATAGGCAAGCAGCTTGGTGAGAAGGCAACAACTGTTGGCGCAATTATTAGAAAATTGAAGAAGTTCAAGATGACGGTCAATGTGATTTTCTGGATTTTTGTTTTAGATTCCGTCTCTCACAGTTGAAGTGTACCTATGATAAAAATTACAGACCTCTACATGCTTTGTAAGTAGGAAAACCTGCAAAAACGGCAGTGAATCAAATACTTGTTCTCCCCACTGTAGGTCCGATAGATTTCTGAAATGGCCGGTCAATTTAAATCTTCCCGGTCATGTTGTCTGGCGCCACATCTTCCTAACGGAAACCCTGGTGTGTGCGTGTACCTGTGTTAGATACAGTAGTAACATTTCCTGTGGTTTTTTTCTTTGTTTGATTTCACTCTCTCAGCGATGTCATTTTAATGGATGTATGGCCAATGATAATTAATCATTCAGATTAATTTGCAATCTTCATGATTATAATCCAGAGATTATAATATGTTATTACATGGTAAAATCATATTTTTATTTTCAGTTATTTTAATCAATTCTTTGTCTTGTCTCTCTGACCTGGTCCAGCCATGTTTTATTTTTGGGGGTCATTTCCTGGGCTTACTTTTCAACTTCCTGTCTTAATCTCTCGCACCTTCCCTACCTTCCAAACCTCCTCCTGCACTTCCTCTTTTCCTCCGGTTCCTCCTGCTACTCCCTTTCCTCTCCTCCCCTCTCGTCTTCCTGCGCCTCACCCTCTCTTTTCCTCCACCTCCCTCACCGGTTCTCCCCTCAGGTCGTTCAGGGCTTGCTGCCTCTTATCTTTCAGTCAAAGCCCTGATGCCGCAGATGCCCAAACTGCTCAAGTCCCTGTTCCCAGCCCGCGAGGACAAGAAGGAGCCCCTGCGCCCCTCGCCCCACTCCCTACAGGTAGGGATCACACCCCCCCCTGACCTTAGTCCAAAGGTCACTTGGTTACTTATCACCTTGGTCCAGCAACTAAGGCTGAATGGTCATTGGTCTAAATCCTTTTTTATGTTGTAACCCAGGGTTTCACATACTCGGTCCTGTCCTAGACACCCCCCCCCCCCCCCCCCCCACAGCTGATTAAAATCATCAAAGCTTGATGATGAGTTAGTTATTTGAATCAGCTGTGTGGGGCGGGGGCTAGGATCGAGTTTGGGAAACCCTGTTGTAACCCCACTGAAGCCTTTCCCATTTTCTTGTGATCCACCAAATAAACCGAACCATATTTCTAGCCACAACAGCAATTAATCACTGGGAGCCCAGAGACAATGGATGGTTGATGTTGGTCTATACTCCACTGTAGTTCACGGTCTCCGATATGAGTGCTCTAATCCATGCCTTCTTTTCAGTGTTGCCTATATTTCCTTTTTCTTCTCTCCACGTAATATGACATGATGATTTGCTCAATTCATCCATCAGGCCTTTTACCAGGTGCTACTATCACAATAAGGCATATCATTTTCTGCATTTGAGTGGAGTGGAGGAAAGTGGAGATGGTTTTTAGAGCATTCAGAGGAAGTGTCTAAACTAGTGAATGATACACTCAGCTTCCAACAGAGCAGACAAAACACTCTTGTATTAAAGGTTTTAAGACGAGCTACTCTCAGAAAGACACAGCTCGATACACTGTGCAGCGCTGAAATGATTCCCACCTGCCACTTGTGATTAGAGTTGTTTTCCACAGCGAGAGATGGGCACACCTGGGGTGGTGAGGCTGGGGGTAGAGCGGTCTAGAGCTGTCTAGTGGGATTATGGTCATTATTGCACTGTGATGCAATGGCTTCTAACAGCCATATGCATGTCAGTCTCTCTTGGCTCAAAGTAGAGGAGAGATTGACTGCATCAATTCTTGTTTTTGTGAGAAAAATGATTGTGTTGAAAATACCAAATTGTCTGTATAATCAACTTACATATAGCTCTGACAGACATACTTACCCCACCAGTCCCCAAATCCAGAACGAATTCAAGGCAACGCACAGTGTTATATAGAGCCATAATCCAGGGTTGTCACCTTGTGGACTGGCTGAGCCACTATGTCAAAATAAAATACTTTATTTGTTATCATTTAAGGACAGGCACTAATAGAGTTTTTTTTTTTTTTTGCGCTAGAATGCAGCAAATGGCATTTACATGTCTTCAAAAACGCTAAAATGTAGAAAATAGTAAAAATAAAGAAAAACCCTGGAATGAGTAGGTGTGTCTAAACTTTTGACTGGTACTGTATGTGCAGATATGTGCACCCCGTCATTGCTCTCTCTTGCTCTTTGTGTGTATCTTGCTACCTGTCACTCAAATGGAGAGGGGCTGAATATCATTGGCTGGAACTTGAATTGCTAGGGAGCTCTTTCAAACTAGGGATTTCGTAGCTAATTGAGGTAAAACAGTAATTCTGCTCATAGGTTATGCATGTATGAACTACACATTGACACATCCAGCCCTAAGCGGGAAGTTTGAAAAATACTAGTCGCCAAAGTACCGGAGCATGTCTTTAAGGCATATGCACACTATATATACAAAAGTATGTGGACACCCCTTCAAATTAGTGGATTCAGCTATTTCAGCCACACCCGTTGCGGACAGGTTTATAAAATCGAGCACACCGCCATGCAATCTCCATAGACAAACATTGGCAGTAGAATGGCCTTACTGAAGAGCTCAGTGACTTTCAACGTGGCACCATCATAGGATGCCACCATTCCAACAAGTCAGTTCGTCAAATGTCTGCCCTGCTAGAGCTGCCCCGGCCAACTGTAAGTGCTGTTATTGTTTAGTGGAAATGTCTAGGAGCAACGATTGCTCAGCCGCGAAGTGGTAGGCCACACAAGCTCACAGAACACGGGACTGTCGAGTGCTGCAGTGCGTAAAAGCGAGGTCCATACAGAAATGGTTTGTTGAGATCGGTGTGGAAGAATTTGACTGGCCTGCAAGAGCCCTGACCTCAACCCCATCGAACACCTTTGGGGTGAATTGGAACGCCGACTGCGAGCCAGGCCTAATCACCCAACATCAGTGCCCGACCTCACGAATGCTCTTGTGGCTGAATGGAAGCTAGTCCCCGCAGCAATGTTCCAACATGTAGTGGAAAGCCTTCCCAGAAGAGTGGAGGCTGTTATAGCAGCAAAGGGGGGAACAACTCCATATTAATGCCCATGATTTTGGAATGAGATTTTTGACGAGCAGGTGTCCCCATACTTTTGGTCATTTAGTGGATATGTAGTAATGTATGTATGCGTGCAAGTCTGCTTGTCTATGTTAATGTTTTTAAATATACACTACTAGTCAAAAGGTTTAGAACACCTACTCATTCAAGGGTTTTTCTTTATTTTTACTATTTTCTACATTGTAGAATAATAGTGAAGACATCAAAACTATGGAATAACACATATGGAATTGTGTAGTAACCAAAAAAGTGTTAAACAAATCCAAATATATTTGAGATTCTTAAAATAGCCACCCTTTGCCTTGATGACAGCTTTGCACACTCTTGGCATTCTCTCAACCAGCTTCACCTGGAATGCTTTTCCAACAGTCTTGAAAGAGTTCCCACATATGCTGAGCAGTTGTTGGCTGCTTTTCCTTCACTCTGCCATCTGACTCTTACACAGCCTGGAGGTGTGTTGGGTTATTGTCCTCTTGAAAAACAAATGATAGTCCCACTAAGCCCAAACCAGATGGAAGGGCGTATCGCTGCAGAATGCTGTGGTAGCCATGCTGGTTAAGTGTGCCTTGAATTCTAAATCAATCACAGACAGTGTCACCAGCAAAGCACCCCCACACAATAACACCTCCTCCTCCATGCTTTATGGTGGGAACTACACATGCAGAGATCATCCATTCACCCACACCACGTCTCACAAAGCCACGGCAGTTGGAACCAAAAATCTCAAATTTGGACTCCAGACCACAGGACACATTTCCACCGGTCTAATGTCCATTGTTCGTGTTTCTTGGCCCAAGCAGGTCTCTTCTTCTTATTGGTGTCCTTTAGTAGTGGTTTCTTTGCAGCAATTCGACCATGAAGGCCTGATTCACACAGTCCCCTCTGAACAGTTGATGTTGAGATGTGTCTGTTACTTGAACTCTGTGAAGCATTTATTTGGGCTGCAATTTCTGAGGCTGGTAACTCTAATGAACGTATCCTCTGCAGTAAAGGTAGCTCTGGGTCTTCCTTTCCTGTGGAGGTCCTCATGAGAGCCAGTTTCATCATAGCGCTTGATGGTTTTTGCGACTGCACTTGAAGAAACTTTCAAAGTTCTTGAAATGTTCTGTATTGACTGACCTTCATGTCTTAAAGTAATGATGGACTGTCGTTTCTCTTTGCTTATTCTTGCAATAATATGGACTTGGTCTTTTACCAAATAGGGCTATCTTCTGTATACCCCCCCGTACCTTGTCACAACACAACTGATTGGCTCAAACGTCATTCCAGGTGACTATCTCATGAAGCTGGCTGAGAGAAGGATTTGTTTAACACTTTTTTGGATACTACATGATTCCATATGTGTTATTTCATAGTTTTGATGTCTTCACTATTATTCTACAATGTAAAAATTGAGTAGGTGTGTCCAAACTTATGCCTGATACTGTATGTGAATTGTAAAGTATTTTTGTTTGTAATGTCTTTTTCGTTATGTGTCGGACCCCAGGAAGACTAGCTGTCGCTAATGGGGATCCCAATAAAAATCTAAATCTAAGCTTCAATGGAGGGAAAACGTTTAACACAGAAGGCAAACTATTACTCCCTACATCTCTCCAAGAATCTGGTTCTTTCCCCATCTTCTCGAGCTGTCTAGTGTTATAATGGCGCCTCGAAGCATTGCTCTAAGGCAGGGGTGTCAAACTCATTCCATGGGGGGCTTAGTGTGCTGGTTTCTTGGCTTTTCCTTTCAATTAAGACCCTGACAACCATGTAAGGGGAGTTCCTTACTAATCACTGACCTTAATTCATCAATCAAGTACAAGGGAGGAGTGAAAACCCCCAGACACTCGGCCCTCCGTTGAATGAGTAGTGCAGGGTTTCCCAAACTTGGTCCTGCACATTTAGGTTTTTGTCCAGCTGATTCAAATAACCAACTCATCATCAAGCTTTGATTAGTTGAATCAGCTGTGTAGCACTAGGGCAGAAACCAAAACGTGCACCCAGGGGGGGCCCCAGGACAGAGCTATGGAAACCCTGAGGTAGTGGAAGAACATAAAAGCAGTTCGACAGAAAATAATTAAACATATTTTTCCAAGAATGCCTTTTATTTTTTTGGAACCTTGAAGCAATTGTATAAGTGGATGAACAACATGAGCGGTTTACATAGCGAAGTGATTCCTTACATCTCTTGTCAGGAAAATAGTTGATGGGTTGCTTATTTAATACCATTGTTATGTCTATAGCCTATATAGTGAAGTCTAAAGTCGTTGAACACTATGTTGGTTTTGCCCAGCCAAGCTTGCTGTTTAATTTCCATATAGACTAGATGTATTGCTAATGCAAGAAGATTTAGCAATGCCATGGTTCCACTTCTGTCAACGCTGCATTTGTTAGTCACTCTTTAAAGACAGATAACACCACAATGGATTAAAATATTATTCTGTAGGGATTAAAACCATTTTTGTAAAGAGCTGAATATAATCGACTGAGCTTTTTGGCTTTTTATATTAAACTCGTAGTTATGTACAATGTGACAGAATACTGATGTATTTATCTCATTGAACAGTGTTTCTTCTATCCCATTGAACATAATTGTGTTTCTCTCTCTCCCTGGCAGCCTCGTATCATCATGCAGACGACAGGGCCTGAAGACAGCAGGATCCGGATAGAACCGGTATGTTCCAGTCTAGTTGTAGTTAGTTGTTTAGAGATCACTCTAGTTCGAGTTGGAAATTTCCCAATATTCCCCGGTTTTCCAGAAATCCTGGTTGGAAGATTCCTGGAATTACAAGGGAATAAGCAGGAAATCTGGGAATCCCCCAAACAGCATTTCTGGAAGGCCTGGGAATTTTGGGAAAGTTACCGGAATTTAGCAACCCTAGTTAGAGATCAGTTTACAACAACTCTTCAGGCTGAAACAGTCTATTGACCATATAAATATAATTAATTATATTTCTATGGTATTGACTGTAATATGACGCTATGATTGGTAGTAAGCAAGTGGATCTGAGGATCTCATTACGATGATGGTGGTCGGGGTGGTAACGATAATTGTGGTGGTGATAGGCAGGCAGTATGATGTCATGGTTTGCTCCAGTCAGTCTTGAGTTGGGTTGAATAATTCTTAAATCCCTGTCATTGAGGTGTGATTGCCATTGCCGTCAATTCCCTGTAGGTTGCTATGGTAGTGAGGACAGCCCTGATCCCGGCCCTGACCAATGACAGGTGGTCGGAGTCCCCTGATGCCCCTCCTCTTCCTGTTCCGTCCTCCCAGCATGACCCGCATGACTACCCCCTCAGCCCCATCAGCGAGGCCTCCAGCGGCTACTTCTCCACTAGCGTTTCTACGGCAACCTTGTCCGAGGCTTCTGCCGTCGCCAGTGGCGACCACCCCACCACCCCCCCCCTCCGCCCCTCCTCCTCCCTCACCCTCCTAGAGGCAGGGGTGGGGCTAAAGGGGAGTAATGCTCCTGATACTACATTACCCAGAACCCATCCGCAGCAGCGAGCTGACTGGAACGGTGTTACTGCTGCATCTCCTCAGTACGAAAACAAAATGGCCACCACCGGTCCCGGCTCTAACATCAACAGCGTCGCCACGGGCAACAAGCCCTTCTCAGTGCAGAGGGTATGCACGTCGGACCTGAAGTCGTTGCAGCAGTGTGTCCTGGGGGAGGAGGAGGGAGGAAGAGGAGGACAAGGGTGTCTGGAGAGGTTGGAGATCATCCTGGACGATGAGGACGGCGGCTGCGACTTCGTGCTGCCCGATTGGCTGAGAGAGGGGGCGTGCGTGACGGTGGGAGCCAATAAGGGCGGGACGGTGCGCTACGTGGGCAACACAGAGTTCGCAGAGGGCATGTGGGTCGGGGTGGAGCTCGACTCGCCCTCAGGTGTGTGTTTACTGTTCACAAAGGAATCGCATGACTTCACATAATGACACCATAAGCAATGGAATCTAAGGAAGAAAGCAGAAAATGAAAATTTAGAGGACCCTGACCTTGTCTACATACACATGAGAGATTAGAGTAGGCAGTGCTTAGTTTAGGAAATTCAAAGTACTAAACAAACTCTTCCTTGTCTAACTCCCCTCATTCCATCCTCTACCTTCACCTCCCTCCCCTCTCTCTCTCCCTCCCTCCCTCCCCTCTCTCTCTCCCTCCCTCCCTCCCCTCTCTCTCTCCCTCCCTCCCTCCCTCCTTCCCCTCTCTCCCTCCCTCCCTCCCTCCTTCCCCTCTCTCCAGGTAAGAATGACGGCTCCGTAGGCGGGCGCTACTACTTCCGCTGTAACCCTGGTTACGGCGTCCTCGTGCGTCCCGACCGAGTGTTCCGACGGGAGCGTTCCACCAAACGGAACCCGGAGAATCGGCGCAGCGGCGAGTTCTGCCAACCCGTTCTACGGGGAGAGTCCACTAACAGGAGAGCGGAGAACCGCAAGTCCTGGAGCAGTTGAACTGGAGAGAAACAGGCCTGGGTGGGAGAGCATAATTCCACACACCACTTTGTCTCCTGGCTTGGATCAACTAGAAAACCCACACACCCTTTTTATCCTGTTTCTAAGCCTCAGTCTCACTCAGACTCCTCTATCTATGCAATACTACTGCATCTAATGTAGAAACAGTCCCTATCCCCTTCCCACCATCCACCCACAGCTTGGCAACACTACTTCAGTACTGTGCCCTCTCCTGGCCAAGCGATGCTAGGCTGGGTTTCTGTAAAGCACTTTGTGACATCTACTGATGTAAAAAGGGCTTTAGAAATACATTTGATTGATTTATACAGGCTGATCCTGTGTTGGCTTGACTGGCCATGCCGCTGTCCCACTACAGGGAAACACCCATAGGGATCTGTCTGAATTAATTTCAATAGGGAAAACTTTTACTCAACAAGCCCCTGCTCCTGGTGCGCTGCCTCCCTATCTGGACGCAGCACTTGTGGCACCCCCTGTGGCATGGATTGGGCACAGCACTTGAAGTGTGACTATACAGAGTGCTGCTGTCTGTATGAAGTGACGCACAGAGCGACCAATGGAGACCGTTTCTTCTCGGGGCCAAGGTTCAGGATCCATAGTGATGACTACTTTTTCTGATGTCATCAAACTCTGGTCACCTCGAGAATCCTTCTGAACGAATGAGGCTTTATTCCAACGGACTTGGACTGGACCCCCCCCCCCCCCCCCCCCTTCTTATATCTGTTTCCACATGTGGAGTCATTTATCTGAAATGATCAATTCTTCCAGAATGTGCCTTCATTAGTTTATTTTTCGTTGTAACATATTTCTTAGTGGTTTTATTCAATGCACATTTCGTCCTCTGTTGAGATTTGATGAGAATGCCTTGTGTAAGTGTGAGGTGATCTCAGGGACTGCAGAGTGGACATGGACTTGAAGATGTGTGCGTGTGTTTTAGAAGTTTGGCCCTTAACGACCAAATTTACCCATGGCAATGTTGTACAGTGGACGAAAATTGATCTGTGTGTGTTTTCGGCTGATCTGAAAGGTGAAGCATCGTTGTTATGATGACGTGGTTTGTGCAACAGTCATCGCCGTTGGTTTTAAATTGTACGTTGAGAAGTCAGTTGAAAGATGGTTCCACTATGAGCAAAATTGGTTAAAAAATATGTATTTTCAACAAAAAAAATATGTTTTTCAATCTATTTTCAGCGTCTTGCTCATAGGGAGATTTTGCCCAGTAGAGGTTTATCCCTAGTTTGGTGGTGACTAGTGATCTGTGTTAGCAACATTGGTGTCTATGGTTCTAGAACTGTTTCAGGAAGTAGCAGTGGCATATATGTATGTTGGACTGCTGGTTTTGTGTTAACATTGTGGAACATCATGTAACATGTGGAGCGGAAGTTGGATGGAAGCTGGTCTTTGATTTGTGTTTGGAAAAAAAGATCTCTTCTATGCATGCGTTCACCTGTTATTTTTAGACGGGTGCTCTTAATGTGTTTGAAGATACAGATCTGTAATAGGGTCTGAAATGTACATACTGACCTAATGACATTGGGAGATGAAGGAAATCAAGGATGTGGAAGCATATTTTTTTTATATAGTTTCAGACAAAGTTTTAGGAGCAATTTTGTTTGAATGCAAATTCCAGGTTGAGAGTTGAAGGATGTGTAATGAGGGACACTGGAATTTAAATGTATACGTTTAATTGATCCCTGAAGTTCCTCTGTAGTAAATATCATTTTTATTAGACGTTCCATTTTTAGACAGAAGTGAATTTCATTTCATTAAAATAAACTGTGCGCTCTTACCTAGTGAGCTGAGTCACAAGCTCTGACAAGACTCAAATGTGTTTTAAAAGGATAGTTCACCCAAATTACACATTGGTTTCCTTACCCTGTAAGCAGTCTATGGACAAGGCATGACAGCAATCCATGCTTTAATCCCATTCAAGTCATGGGACCGATATTATCATTTTTCGCACGTCCAAATCATCTACATGTCCAGTATCTACAATTGATTGTGAAGCTCAGTCACTTATAAATGTTTTGTACATGATGCACAACCAATGCTCTTATCGGTCCCATGACTTGAATGGGATTAGTGCCACAAATGCTAAAATGTTAGCATGTGGAAACAGTGCCAGGGAAACTAAACCAAAGCATGGATTGCTGTCATACCTTGTCCATAGACTGCTTACAGGGTGAGGAAACCAATGTAATTTTGTAATGACTATACCTTTAACACTAGTCCATTCAGCAAGCATGGAGCGAAGTCACAACATATATGAAGGATCTGAAAGATATGCCCCTTCACCCCAACGCTATGCCATTTATTTAGAGTATTTTATATCATTTAAGAAAGGCCTACATTTGCTATATATATATATATATATATAGTTGAGGACCTGTGAGAGGCACCTGTTTCTCAAACTAGACACTCTTGCTCAGTTGTGCACCGGGGCCTCCCACTCCTCTTTCTATTCTGGTTAGAGCGCTGTTCTGTGAAGGGAGTAGTACACAGCGTTGTACGAGATCTTCAGTTTCTTGGCAATTTCTCACATGGAATAGCCTTCATTTCTCAGAACAAGAATAGACTGACGAGTTTCAGAAGAAAGTTATTTGTTTCTGGCCATTTTTAGGCTGTAATCGAACCCACAATTGCTGATGCTCCAGATACTCAACTAGTCTCAAGAAGGCCAGTTTTATTGCTTCTTTAATCAGCACAACAGTTTTCAGCTGTGCTAACATAATTGCAAAAGGGTTTTCTGATGATCAATTATCCTTTTAAAATGATGAACTTGGATTAGCAAACACAACATGCCATTGGAACACAAGACTGATGGTTGCTGATAATGGGCCTCTGTACGCCTATGTAGATATTCCATTCAAAATCTGCCGTTTCCAGCTACAATAGCCATTTACAACATTAACAATGTCTACACTGTATTTCTGATCAATTTGATGTTATATTAATGGACAAAACAATTGCTTTTCTTTCGAAAAACAAGGAAATTTGTAAGTGACCCCAAACTTTTGAACGGTAGTGTGTATATATATATATATAGCAAATGTAGGCCTTTCTTAAATATATATATAGTATAGTAATGGTTGACATACCTTTATCGTGAAAAAGTCTAAGCTTTTAAATTGTACTGAAAAAAGTTGTTGATTGCACAAGTAATTCTATGAGGAATGATGCTGCTATAGCAACTGTAATATAACTGTAAATTGATCCAATCATTGGTATTATAGTCCTTGTCGGGAGTTAATCTTGATTATAGTCTTGATCTTTGGCCTTATACACCACTTGATATGGGACAGAGTAAGAAGGAGTTGTCAATGGGCTGATGACTGGCCAGTTGGGAGATATAGTCTAGTAGATGGGATGAGCAAGTGTTTGTTTATTATTGGTCATGGTTGCCTTTTAAGTACTTTTCCCAAGTCACTCAGACCCTTTACGTTGCTGGTAGCGGAGCTAGGGCGTTTTTTAAAAGTTGTTCGTCATGGTTGAGTTGGTGTCGAGCCTTTAACCGAGTGATCATCATTGTGCTAGTAGATGGAATGGAACTGAGTTTCTGAGGGTGTGTGCGTGTGTCGTACATGTGTATTAAATGAAGATTGTGAGAGCAGGTAGGTTGCGTTTAGACAGGTAGTCCAATTCTGATCTTTCTTTCACTAATTGGTCTTTTGACCAATCAGATCAGCTCTGAAAAGAAAAAAGATCAGAATTGGGCTGCCTGTGTAAACGCAGCCATAGTGTATCGGATGGATTTGGCCTCGGTTTCGTCGTGTCCACGCTTCTTTGCACAGAGACCGAAAAGTGTTTGAGATCTCTTCAGGCTTATCTAGTTCTTTATTTCAGTGCCTCGCTCTTTCTTTCTCTCACACTCATCATGAAGTCAGACCCACAAGTAGCTCTGATTCAAACACTTGATTTGACCGGTTTGTATTTCCAACTGTTAGCTCTTTAACGTGATGTGGTTTCCTAGTTCAGACTAGCACGTGAACGCGGCATGTCCTTCATTTCATCATCATGGACTTGCTCATATGACCATATATGGTTGTGACTACATGCTCAGAACCACGTGTATTCTATTGAGTTTGACCGTTAGACTGTCTATACTTCATTAAGGATATATCCATTCTGTTACCGTATCATTCCACAGAAGGCATGCTCTGTGTTTTAAAGAATAATCAAGGCCCAAGGACACAGATGCAACAAACTTATGGGACGGGGGGGGGGGGGGGATTTCAAGAGTATATTTGTTTATCTTCCTTTCTAATATATGCATTTCCTGTATATCTCTATCTATGGCAACACAGGTCCAGAGCTCAGAGCAATATGACACCTGCCTTTACGTGGCCTTCAGTCTACAAGTTAGTCTTCACGTCAGTCTGTCCCTCTCTGGGTTTAATAACTAAAAACCTCCATCTTCGGCTTTCTCCAGACTACCAATGCGAGACTGCGTAACTAGAAACCCTCAAACTCCAGCCATGGAGAAACCTGGGTACTACTAGACTTTCTTCACACTACACGTGGCTTGTCCATAGCCAGCAGTGGACCACATCAGACACTGCCACTGGCTTATGTGCCAATGGAAGCTCATGTCAGTAGAGGATTCTAATGGGGAACTTGTCTGTTTTTCCCCAACACAGACATCAATTAGAGTTGAGCCTCTTTACCTCCAACTTTCACCGGCCACGTTCCATTTCTGTCCTGAGCTCCCATCTCTCAGGTGTTCAACACTAAAGCGGTAGGAGGAAGGGGCAAGGGGACAGAAATGGAATTGGGCCGGATCTTCAGACTGTTTGTACAACTCTTCTACAATGGTTGCTTCTGAAATGGCACACAATGGTATTTTATTCCTGTAGTGCATAGAGAAAAGGGTGCCATTTTAGACACACAATGACTGACCTGAGACCAGCTCTGGTTTGTGCCTCGTCCTGGAGTCATCAATATTATCATTATTATTAATCGACATCAGTGATTTGCCTATCTGATTCTGTTCTGCCGGTTGTTGTGAAGTGTATTAGTTCAGAGTATATTTGTGAGAGCGAATGTGTGTAGGCATGACTATGTATGTACGTGTATATATAAAGACTTAAATCTGAGCACAAGTTTGGATTTTGATTAATTTAATTGTTCCATGTAATTCTCTGCTGAAATCCAAAGAATAATCATGTATTATAATGCATTTATAATGTTCTTATTGTCTGGACAATAATCTCCCTGTAAAGGAAAGAATAAAAAAATGAAATGAGTTACAGATTTTTATCGTCTGCATTTTTTAAATTTTTATGAGACTGCGTAATCTTCCATTATTAAGTGCAGAATGCTAATTTGAGTAATGCACATGTAGGTCTTGAAGTCATGCATTGATGTCAATTGCAGTTCGGGTTTGTGCAGATTTGGGCCGATTGATACACATTTTGAGAGAGATTTCAGTTGCTCACAGACCCATTGTTCATCGACCTTTATTCTTTAGTAGGTACAATACTAAAATAAACAAGTTAACAAAATGTTTTTTGAACAAATGCAACAATTTAACAAAGGCATATATAGATTTCTACATATTAATTACAGAACAGTCTACTGTCCAAAAAAGGCACTAAATTCTGAAATAGGAGATAACAGAACTCGTTTAACTATTTCAATCTGATACAACAGTAATTTCAATAATTTTATATTCATTTCATCTTCTAGAATATTTGTTATTTCATGTATTCACATTGTATGTATGAACGAGGACTGGCGATAGCTGTTCCCTCGCAATTTCAAAGGCAAAGCCCCTCCCACAGAGGTTAATGGTCATTATTGAGGAGCAGTCTTTAGCAAAGACAACCTTTTCACCTGGTTTTGTATACAGTACCAATTTAATTTGTAGATTTGACAGATTCATCAAATTCTGGGTGATGCCAAAGATGCAGAACCAAAATCTTGTGTGTGCTAGCTAGCTAGCGAGCTACTCGATATGGCGTTAGCAATTGTTAAACAGTCTCAAATTAAGTCTTGAGAGACTAGTAAAGACCTCAGAAACCTGAAGGATAAGTTTTGCCTTTGAGTGACTGAGTACAATAGGTCAATGAAAATCACGGTAGATTGGGGCCGAACTCAGACCCGAGTTATGCACGCATAAATTGAACTTTATTCCCCCTATTCTACACTTTTCTCACTTTCCAATATTTCATGGGTTGAACAATTGAATATGGCAACTTTCAGGATGTATCAAACCATTGTATTTTTGATTCACCAATCTATTTCATGCTTAAAGGCTTTCCAAACCTGTTTTATTATTCAAATACTTTCCTAACCCTAAATAATATACAAGATCAGAGTATTTTTAAATCTACCAATTGGTGCTGAAAATGAGACTAACATGCTTGTAAGCCCTTTACACACCAGTCTGAATACCAACTACTGAGAAGTGCGTAGGAAAGGCATACATTTCCTAAGTCTGAATCGGGCCCACTATGCATATCAAAATGGAAAAACAAAAAACAGGAACATTATTTTTAAAAACAAAGCATTTCATGAATCAAATGATTAATCTCATACTATACATTTCTGCTTGGCAGAATTTTACACATGGAAAAATGTAAGTAACAAACTGAAAATACAAATATTGTTTTTTCTGCCTCTGTCTTTAGAATAGTATTTTTAAAATCTTGTAAGATACATGTTTGATACAGAACAAAGCACTAGGTTAGTGGCTAGCGGAACCTCAGAGATTCACAAGCTCTGAAGCAGCAGAAACCGTCATCAGGTCAGCTTGGCTGTCATTTAATACATTTTGGACTACTTAAAGGGACAGTTCACCCAAACATAAACTTGAGTCTAATCTCTGCAACTTGGTCAGCTAACAGTATGTCACGAGAGACTGTTTGCCAAATATCTCAATACCTCAGAAGCAGGGGTTGGAGCCGAAATCATTAGTTTCATTCTGAACAGAACCATAATTTATTTAAATTCCGTTCTGACATGCACAATAAAGTTCTGAACCGGTTTGAACTAAGTAATGGTTTATGTTGTTCCTTTCTGTTTTTGTTTTTTTAAACCTCTGAAATCAAGTGGGGAGAGAGAGAGGGTGGAAGAGGAGGCTTGGCTTGAAGCGCTGGGCATCTTGTTATGACATGCATTATCTGAATTAGGCCCACAGTATTACACCTGCGAAGGAGCGGCTCCTATGAAGGAACTTTTAATGTCTTTGAACTTCAGAGAGTTGGCTTAATGTTGGACCAGAGCTAGCTAACAAGCTTGTGTGTGCAGAGCGGCACCAGAATTAAAATAAAAACACGTCTTACCTTTTCGTAGTTAATAAATCCAATGTGAAACGTGATAACTATAGTATCCAAAACTAGCATTAAAGGTTAATCCATTCTTCTCTAATAAAAAAATCTCTCTCCCTAATTTCTGAATCACGCTTGTGACGTCAGTAGGCTACAGTAGACAATACTTCGGAGGGGGAGGGGCAGGTAGCCTACACACGCACAACGGCAAAGATTTTCAGCTGGCAGGGAGGCAGACACTGGAATAAGATTCTACATGACAGAGTGAGGGCTTTGCATAGGCGGTTTGTTGCATTTTTTGTGGGACAGGAGAAGAAAAAACGGAACGTAAAATAACGTTATTAGCCGGTTCCCATGGTTTTAAAATAACAGTTCTGTTCCGGAACAGTATAGATCACTTTCGTTACCGGTTCGGATTCTGTTTCTTGAAAATGTTTGTTGTTTTCGTTTGTTCCCTGAACCGGTTCCAAGCCCTGCTCAGAAGTGGTCTAACGATAAGCTGGGACCATATCCCACCATGACTGTTGTGTAGATCTGGCAAGGAGGCAGTTTCCAGTAGTTTGGGATTGAGGTCTGCTGATTTCATCATAATACAGTAACCTACACAACAAAACCACTTTTGAGTCTGGTCAACTTGAATTTGAAGGTGAACTACCCCTTTAAGGTTAGAAAAACAAGGTTATTCATCTACATAACTTATTTCACATTAAAAGCAGCGACCTGGGAGTTGAGGGAAAATAGCTTATAGGGAAGAGGAGGTGGGGGGGAAGGTGTTTGTGGAAACACCAAACAACCCCTAACCCTTGACCTCTTACCTTTGAACCTGTGTCAGCCAGCAGATCAGTCTCTCTTCCTCCTATTGCTTGCCTGGTCTGTCAATCACTCAGGATGACCAATAAGCTACGAGGGCAGGAAACTCAAGCCCCATGGTAGCTACACCCATAAAGTGACTGTATTTTCTCTTTTAAAAATAAATCTAAAAGCAAGTATCTTGGATTACAGCTTGTGTTTAGAAGACGTCATGGCATATAAAGCATGATATATAAAGGATAGAAAAAGAAGTGTTTGCATTACTTCCGGTACTAAGAATAGTAGGGACGACAGGCAGCCGGTGGCACCTTAATTGGAGAGGATGGGCTCAAAGTAATAGCTGGAACGAAATGAATGGTATCAAACACATGGTTTCCATGGTTTCCATGCGTTTGATACCTTTCCATTCACTCCATTCCAGCCATTATTATGAGCCTTCCTCCCCTCAGCAGCCTCCTGTGATAGGGACATTTTCAATGCACCCTTGATTGGCAATCTTAAAATAGTAACTCATTTCTTCCCAACTGAAAAACATGATTATAACACCTCAGTATGTTGCCTTAAATGAAGGTTAAAAGCTACAAACAAATGATTTGGGTACAGCTTCAATATGCTTATAGTTACCCCATAACAACCACATAAGGCCCCTTTCACTAGCTAGCATGATTATCCCTCCTCTCCCCATCCAATCTACTCTCTCTCTCTCTCTAATTCGTAAGCAATAATATAATAATAATAATAATAATAATTGGTCATTTAGCAGACGCTCTTATCCAGAGCGACTTACAAGAGCAATTAGGGTTAAGTGCCTTGCTCAAGGGCACATCGACAGTCTGATTTCACTTGCTTTAAACCTATCCAGTTTAGGTAGTGCTACAACAAGGGGACATATTTATACATTTGAGGGATTATATAGGCTTCTACAGAGGCCTGTTGAAAACCCTCACCACTCCCTCTCGCTCTCCCTTATACTGCGAAGTTGGAGGTGGAGACAAGTAAAAAGGGACAGACAGATGAGAGTGAGAAGGGAGGGGTGAACAGACAGTGTAATAGATCATGCGAGAGAGTTAGGAAGGAATATGTCTGGGTGAGGTGGAAAAGAAAGATGGAGTGAGAGTGGAGTCAAGGGAGTAAGAGAATCAAATAGCGTATGGTGCACGTTGGGGAGAAGGTGCCAAAATCAGAATGCAGAGGGAGGTGTGCAGGGTTCCATAATAACCTATTCTGATTCTTTAGACTCACACAGACAAGAGTATAATATACCTCACATACACTGTATGACTGTTTCATAGACACACAACTTTAGGGCCAGGCCTCCCAACACAATACCCCTAGAACAGTCTAAAGGGGTTACTAGGGGCTAGGAAATAGGGAGGTAGAGGTAAGGGGATGCCTGTTACTTTAGCTTTGACAGTCTCTAAGCATATGCATTACTTTTGGTCATCGTTTACAGTGTAACATTCCAACAAGCTCTACTTGCTCCCAACAAATGTTTTCCTAATCTACGATAGCCACTCCCTCTTGTATTCTCGCACGCATGCTCGCGCACACACAAACACATACTGCGTTCATAACCAAGTGGGAAGGTGGTATTTACCACATACGACTGAGTGGTAGTTGCTAGTGGGAAACTCGTCTATCATTCCTGAGCTCCGACTTCTCCCACATGCTGAACTCTGACGTCACCTACTAAGGGAATGACTTTGATAACAGCATTTTCGGCAGTTAAATGCAACAACAAAACATAACTTTAAAAAGCTATCTATTAATATGTTTTTTGAACACTATAATTTGTTGACAAGCATTATAGTTGTACGTATAGTTTATGGTTGACGCAGCCTGTTTACCATTAGGCAATCAGCGTTTCTCAACGAGTTCAAAGCACGTGAAAGTATCCAACACGTTTTTACGACTTCACAACTGGTAATTACAACCTTCCCACTTGATTATGAACGCAGAATTAGACACCTTTCCCTCTCCACCTTTCCCTCTCCTCCCCCTAGTCGTTGTCCAGCACCTCTGTTTTGATGTCACTTTCTGTCCCACCCAGGGCCAATCCTCCCCCTGCCTGTGTTGCCAGGGCGAGGATGCTGTGATTGACGGCCGCCATCTCCACGGCGAGGGCGATGGGATCCTGGTGCTCCAGGGCATTGCTGTGATTGGTGGAGTCGTCATCCTGGAGGGAGGGGGGAGACCAGGACACACCCGTCAGTCTGGAACCTTCCATCCCTGCCCCCTGAGCAAGACCCACCCCAGAGAGCAAGGAGCGGCCAATCAGAGAGCTAGCCCTCTGGGCGGCTAAGCCCCCCCTACCCGAGCCGGGCCAAGCCGCCAGCCAGCTGGGCAGCAGGGTGGGCACCTGCAACCGCAAGAGGGGGAGGAGTCAGGGGTCATGTTTACACGTAATAGTCTAAAGCTGTGGTCTTCAACTCTGAGACAACTGCAGGGCTCATTTACTAAGCAAAACCACGGGCTGCATTAAATCTGTTCACGTACCATATTTGGCCCACCCCCGAGTTTGAGACCCCTGACCTACACACTGACCTGAAAGAAATGGATAGGTAAAGCAAAGTCTACGATGTTGCTTTCCACTATCCTGTGTTTTCAGATCGAGAATCCGCTTTAGACTATTGAGATGCACCCTTGTTCGGTTACGGAAGTCAACTGGTTAGCATGGACAAATGCATGCACATTATAAGGATTTCTTTCCCCCCACTTCCTGGTTAGCTACCCATCTCACAGATTTGGTATAGAGAAAAGGTTCTGTACCAAATATGGAGTACAGTATGGATATGTAACCCATAATACAATAGAATGCAGTACGACTTCTCATAGCAGTATACATACCTGTGTGGGAGAGGACAGGTCTAGTCGGCTGAGACTGAAGGGTCTGGTAACCGCTCTCTTCTCAAACAGAGGGACTTCACAGCCCTGTAGGAAAACAAGATGCAATGTGTCAAACCACCCCTATGAAGGCAGAATGGTCTTGACTACAAGATACAAAGAAACTGGGAGAGACTAGGGCCTAGATTCAATCAGATCAAGCATTAACCAGTGATAGCTGACACCCACATTTGGCTCCCGAGTGGCGCAGTGGTCTAAGGCACTGCATCTCAGTGCTTGAGGCGTCACTACAGACCCCGTGGTTCGATTCCAGGCTGTATCACAACCGGCCATGATTGGGAGTCCCATAGGGCAGCGCACAATTGGCCCAGCGTCGTCCGGGTTTGGCCGGTGTAGGCCATCATTGTAAATAAGAATTTGTTCTTAACTGACTTGCCTAGTTAACGTAAAGGTTAAATATATTTTGTTTTTAAATAGCTGATGTTTTGGCGATGTCAGAGGTGTAACTGCTTTGGAACTGGCAAATCGGTGCGCAGCTGCTCTTGATCATTGTCATGAAGCCACTCACGTTAGAAGTTCAGAACGACAAAGTCTAGCCTATATAGAAATAATGACGCTCAAATTGAAAATCATTCAACAAAATAACGAGGATTTCTATCAGCCTAATCTCGGTGTAGATTACATCTCACATCATAGTGTTTCCAACTGGGATTTCTCTTAATGCGACTCCGTGCAGCCAATGACAATGTCCGCTTTAGGTATAATGCCAGGAGCCGCTAGTGGATTGGACAGCTCTAACTCAGTTCCACCTCCAACACCAACAACCTCTGTGGATGTCGGCTAAAGGAGTTCTTAGTTTTTATTTTATGTCGGCTATCTGATTAAATAGAGCCCTAAACCATATCACATTCTCAGGGATGATCTCTCTCATGTGTATCATAGAGCACCCCTATAAAAAGGTAGGATGTCTTGGCTGCCAGATACTACACAATTTGCAAAGGACTGGCCCATTCCACCTTCTTAGGGGTGGTTACCTGGTCAGGGAAGTCATTCCCGTCAATGTCATCGCTGTTGGAGTGTCCTCCAGGACTCTGGACGTCGATCCCATGGCTCTCCAGGATTGCTGCTTCTTCGAAAAAAACAAACTTCTCCATAACACATCTGAGCTCTATGCACACACACTCACATACAGACTCTTTCTCTCGCATACACTCAACTCTCTCTCGCACTCACTCTCTCATACACACTCACTCGACACCCCCAGAGGGGGCGTAAACGTTACCTATGTTGGCGCGTCTCTTGATCTCCTTGCGGCGGTTGGCGAACCAGTTGTAGACCTTCAGAGACGTGACTTTCTCCAGATCAGACAGCTTTTTCCCTGCACACACAGACACAGAGCATACTCAGTGTTAAATGTGTTCTTACTCCATAATTAATATTCAATATAAGTATGTACCTCTTTCGTTTCTCCATGTTTCCTCCTGCTGGTTCTCACCTGGTTTCTGGATGACAGCGTTGCAGGCGTTAGCGATCTCCTCTCTTTTAGCTTCATCAGGGTACTGGTTGTCATTGAAGTAACTGGAAAATAACACATAACCACAACATAATTTATTACGCAACATTCACTTTCCTCCAAGTGTAATGGCAAGTTTGCTGCTTTCCCCAATCTCTCAGCCTTTATCTAGATTACAACAATAACTCACCAAATCTGCCTCCCTCCCTCCTCCTCAACTCTCTCCCCATCACTACTCTTTCTCTCTCTCCTCCTCCTCACCTCTCCATCACAGCCAGACATTCTTTCCTCCAGGTGAAGCGACTGCCTCGGCGCAGACGGAAGCTCCCGGGGGTGGAGCTTATAGGGGGCAGAGTCTGCCGCCACTCAACCACATCCTCCAGAGACATGGGGGCGGGCCGCATCGTCAGAGTGGCACCTGTAGACACAACCGTGATGTCACCATGGAGACACAACCATGATGTAACCATGGAGACACAGCCATGATGTAACCCTCATGTAACAAAGGTTGTATCGAGTGAACATCAGAGATCTACTATTTGGAGAGTGCTGTCCTTTAGTTGTTGATTGAGTGCATTTATAAAGGATTCAGCACCTTATTTTATAGAAGAATTAAGAGTGTTATATTGCGACTGTGGTGTGCGTGTATGGAAATATGGACTCATTTATACAAAGAGCGGTAGTGTTTTTGGCATAGATCCACAGCAACAGAGCACTAACCTAATGAACAATGAATGCTGATGGATGGCTGTAATCCTTATATACAGCCTATAATTGTAACACACACACAGCATTCTGATTATAAATGTAGAGATGTAGGGAGAGGTGGATTGGGACTGTGTCTATATAAAGATGTTGAAACTCATAACAGTCAATGGATGTTCCTGCTTAGCATGTTTTAAAAAGACAAACATCCTGAATGCTACTTGTGCTTCCTGGGACTAGAACCTACGTATTTTTCTGACTCTATTCTATATGACTCACATTTATACATGCCTTTGATTGTAACTAACGTAATGTTGAAATATGCTGTCTAGATCAGGGATGGGCAACTTTGATGGGGGGGCCACAAAAAAAACAGAACAATGAGCAGTTTTACAGCTAATTTCCTGCAATTCTACACATTTTGCCATAGGGTGGAGGCAAATGTTTGCAGTTTTTAATATGATAACTGATGATCAATGGGCCCCAACCCGGTCTGTAATTTGACCATGCTTACTACAAGTTTAGATAGCTGGCCGCTAGACTAATTTACCAATCTAAAAGCATTTAGCTGACATGGGCTAATTGAGTGACTGCTGATGCTCAACCACATTTTGAAATTGCACCTTGTGTATTCTATTATTCTAATTCTCAGTAAGTTGAGACCCCGACTGAGTTCCTAAAATAAATAACAAATTACATTTTTGTTGCGTGAAATTGGTCCCCGATCGAGATAGATGTATTCAACATAGATCAACTGTTTTCAAATCTGGGCCTAGAGTTCCACACCACTGCTGGTTTTCAGTCTTCCCCTTTAACCAGGGACTGATTCAGACCTTCGAGTGGACTCTTGGGACAATCAAATCAATCAATTAATTAACGACTAAAGAGAAAGAAGAACAACCTGCAGTACTGCAGAGCTGGAGGCCCGGATGTGAATAGCCATGCAGTATGTAGCTAGTACAGTGGTAGTCTATAGGTGCTGTAACATACACAGTCCACCAGGGCGCGTCACTCCACCCTCCCCTCCACACAGACAGAGGTGAGGCCGGTGTGATTTCACAAGTTTGCTTTTTATTAAAAATCCGTTTTTCACCATAGTTATACAGTCAGACACCAGTACTCTTTAAGGCCTAGGTATAGTCATCATAATAACGTATTAATGAGGTTTATACAGTGCTTAAAGCACTTTACATTTCTACTCAATTGTCTTAGCGACACCTTAGCGATACAACTACAAGTTCTACTACTACTCATTATACACCAGCCAATAATGAGTATTTTAATAATCGTGGCTGTGATAGCTTATTGGCTGCTGTGCCCAGAGGGTAGGGAGGAACACGGGAAATGGGACGTGACACATCTGGACACAGGATGGAGTCAGACAGACAATGGGGTTGTGGGGGCAGAAACAGGTTGTAGGGGGGTTCGAAATGTGACGTAACAGCTCAGGGAGTTGGGCGGGACAAGTACTGAATGGAACATTTTGGGGGAGAGGCTTCAATACTGCATGGGGCGTGTCTGCAGAGTAGCTACAGTGCCTTGAAAAAGTATTCATACCCTTTGGATTTCTTCAAATTTTTATTGTGTTACAAAGTGGGATTAAAATAGATTTAATTGCAATTTTTGTCAACAATCACACAAAATACTCTAATGTCAATTACATTTTAAAGATTGATCGAAATTAAATAACTAAAATATAGTCGTTGCATAAGTATTCAGCACCCTGAGTCAATACATGTTAGAAACACCTTTGGCAGCGATTACAGCCCTCAGTCTTCTTGGGTAATTCTCAAAGAGCTTTACACACCTGGATTGGGCCATTTTAGCCCATTATTCTTTTCATAATTATTCAAGCTCTGTCAAGATGTTGGGGATCATGGATAGACAGCAATTTAAGTCTTGCCATAGATTTTCAAGCAGATTTCGGTCAAAACTGTAACTTGGCCACTCAGGAACATTCCCTGTCTTCTTGGTAAGCAACTCCAGTGTAGATTTGACCTTGTGTTGTAGGTTATTGTCCTGCTGAAATGGGAATTACCTCTCCCAGACTGAAGCAGGTTCTCCTCTAGGATTTTGCCTGTACTTAGCTCCATCCCGTTTCTTTTTACCCTGAAAAACTCCAGTATTTGCCGATGTCAAGCTTATCCATACCATGATGCCGCCACCAACCACCATGTTTGAAAATAAGGAGGGAGTTACTCAGTAATGTGGTGTTGGATTTGCCCCAAACATAAGGCTTTGCATTTAGGCCAACAAGTGTATTCTTTTGCCATGCTTTTTTGCAGTATTACTTTAGTGCCTTGTTGCATACAAGATGCATGTTTTGGAATCTTTTTTTATTCTGTATATTTCCATTCTTCTTTTCACTCTGTCATTTAAGTCATTAATTTAGGCTTGTCCAAACAAAGGGACTGAATACTTATGCAACAACTATATTGTAGTTCTCATTTTTTATTAATGTTAAACAAAAACTTTGAGTAGATTGTTGACATAAATTGACAATTAAATAAATGTTAATCCCACTTTGTAACACAATAAAAGGCGAAGAAATCCAAGGGGTCTGAATACTTTTGCAAGGCACTGTATGCCCATTGAAAATGAGGGGGCACAAGAGGGCATGTGGGTAGTGTAGTCACATGTAGTGACTACAAACAAACACTCCGATTTGGCATGAGTGCCCCCTAGAAAAGTGCATTATATTGGGCCAAAATAACAGTTCAGGGATACATACAGTGGCTTGCGAAAGTATTCACCCCCCATGGCATTTTTTCTATTTTGTTGCCTTACAACCTGGAATTAATATGGATTTGTTGGGGGGTTTGTATCATTTGATTTACACAACATGCCTAGCACTTTGAAGATGCAAAATACAAAAATGTGAAACAAATTAGAAATAAGACCAAAAAAAAGAACTTGAGCATGCATAACTATTCACCCCCCCAAAGTCAATACTTTGTAGAGCCACCTTCTGCAGCTGCAAGTCTCTTGGAGTATGTCTCTATAAGCTTGGCACATCTAGCCACTGGGATTTTTGCCCATTCTTCAAGGCAAAACTGCTCCAGCTCCTTCAAGTTGGATGGGTTCCGCTGGTGTACAGCAATCTTTAAGTCATACCACAGATTCTCAATTGGATTGAGGTCTGGGCTTTGACTAGGCCATTCCAAGACATTGTCCCAAGAGTTTTCCCTTAAACCACTCAAGTGTTGCTTTAGCAGTATGCTTAGGGTCATTGTCCTGCTGGAAGGTGAACCTCCGTCCTAGTCTCAAATCTCTGGAAGACAAACAGGTTTCCCTCAAGAATTTCCCTGTATTTAGCGCCATCCATCATTCCTTCAATTCTGACCAGTTTCCCAGTCCCTGCCGATGAAAAACATCCCCACATGCTGCCACCACCATGCTTCACTGTGGGGATGGTGTTCTCGGGGTGATGAGAGGTGTTGGGTTCGCGCCAGACATAGCGTTTTCCTTGATGGCCAAAAAGCTCAATTTTAGTCTCATTTGACCAGAGCACCTTCTTCCATATGTTTGGGGAGTCTCCCACATGCCTTTTGGTGAACACCAAACGTGTTTGCTTATTTTTTTTCTTTAAGCAAAGGCTTTTTTTCTGGCCACTCTTCCGTAAAGCCCAGCTCTGTGGAGTGTACGGCTTAAAGTGGTCCTACGGACAGATACTCCAATCTCTGCTGTGGAGCTTTGCAGCTCCTTCAGGGTTATCTTTGGTCTCTTTGTTGCCTCTCTGATTAATGCCCTCCTTGCCTGATCTGTGATTTTTGGTGGGCGGCCCTCTCTTGGCAGGTTTGTTGTGGTGCCATATTCTTTCCATTTTTTAATAATGGATTTAAATGGTGCTCCGTGGGATGTTCAACATTTCAGATATTTCTTTTTATATCCCAACCCTGATCAGTACTTCTCCACAACTTTGTCCCTGACCTGTTTGGAGAGCTCCTTGGTCTTCATGGTGCCGCTTGCTTGGTGTTGCCCCTTGCTTAGTTGTGTTGCAGACTCTGGGGCCTTTCAGAACAGGTGTATATATACTGAGATCATGTGACACTTAGATTGCACACAGGTGGACTTTATTCAACTAATTATGTGACTTTTGAAGGTAATTGGTTGCACAAGATCTTATTTAGTGGCTTCATAGCGAAGGGGGTGAATACATATGCACGCACCACTTTTCCGTTATTAATTGTTTATAATAAAGTTGTATTTTTTCATTTCACCAATTTGGACTATTGTGTGTATGTCCATTACATGAAATCCAAATAAAAATCAATTTAAATTACAGGTTGTAATGCAACAAAATAGGAAAAACGCCAAGGGGGATGAATACTTTTGCAAGGCACTGTAGGGTGGATTTGGAAGGGCCATCACAATTTTCTAGCCCTAGAATGTCAACAAATAGTTCATAGAACATCAGCTCTCATCATATAACCCCTTCTGCCCTCTCTAGTTTGGGCAGGGTCTGAGAGAGTCCTCTAATAGTGGATGGAACGAGTGGAACAACTGAAGAGGGACTGGACAGATGGGTAGAGGCTGACAGTGGGGGGGTCAGGGGGGCTCAGGAGGGGGTCTGCCAGGGGGTGGAGGAGGTGGAGGTGGGGGGCATGGTGGGACTGGGCGGGGGGCTGGGCATGGGGGTGGTGGTGGTGGGCATTACCGGGGGTGGTCTTCTCCAACTGATACCAGCGGTAGAAGGCCCTCTTCTTCTGTTCACTGAGGTCCGAGCCCTGCTGGAGCAGCCAGTGGGAGATACGACTCTGACTGATACCTGGAGAGAGGGGGAGCAAGGGAGTGAAAATGGAGAGAGAGGAAGTGAGATAGAAAGACAGACAGACAACGAGAGAGCGAGATTCATTACCTTGCCAGTGCATATATACAGTGGATGAAGTACTTGCGGTTTCTCATTACATCCACACGAACAATAAAGTGACCACAGTTCCACTCCCACAGTCAAGTGCCATATGTAGTGTGCTGTATTAGCCACAAGGGGGCATACTGACCTGTGACCTGAGCCACCACGGCCTGAGAGATGCGCCTGTTCCCCAGGAACACCTTGATCTCCTCCTTGATTATGGCACTGTCCCTTCTAGAGAGAGAGAGAGAGAGAGAGAGAGAGGTGGTGAGTGTAAGGGAGGAAAGAGAGAAAAGAAAGAGCATTGTTCCTTTTGCTAGGAAGATGGAAAGAGGGACGAGTGAGGAAGTGTGAGATGTCTGTGGAAAGAGCGAGAGAAATGGAGAGAAAGAGGATAAGCCATGGATAGAGGGAGATATGATCGGCAAGTACAATGGAGTTGGCGAGGAAGCAAAGAGACAATCAAAAGGGAAATATGAGGGGTTGAGGAAAAGCAAGGAGAATAGGGGTGTGTCTATATGTGTGTGTGTCTGTGTGTACCAGCCAGTGTGACCAAGTGCCGCTGTATGTGATTGTCAGACGGAAAGAGTGAATGTGACAAAAGCAGACAGAGAGCAAGACAAAGTGAGAGGGAGAGAGAGCTAGTGAGACGGAGAGGGAGAGAGAGCGAGACGGAGAAGGAGAGAGCTAGTGAGACGGAGAAGGAGAGAGAGCGAGACGGAGAGGGAGAGAGAGCGAGACGGAGAGGGAGAGAGAGTGAGACGGAGAAGGAGAGAGAGCGAGACGGAGAGGGAGAGAGAGGGAGACGGAGAGAGAGCGAGACTGAGAGGGAGAGAGAGCGAGACGGAGAAGGAGAGAGCGAGACGGAGAAGGAGAGAGCGAGGCGGAGAGGGAGAGAGAGCAAGGCGGAGAGGGAGAGAGAGCGGAGTGCAGTCTTTCTTCTTTCTGTCGATACACTGCCTTCTCATTTACATTTATATTGATTCCCCTTCATGGAGAACGTGAGGGAGAATCAGTCAGCACTGAGCTGCCAGAAATCCACCACTACTTTTCTCTCCTTCCATTTCATTTTCATCACTCCATCTAATCAATACTGCCTTTACCACTGCTCACTGGGCACACACACACTACAAAAGAGCAGCTGCATGGTTGACAGGACACGTGTGTGTGGATGAGATCCCATATTTTAATTGTATTTGTGAACGTTACCTGCTTATATTCCATTATTCATATTCAATTTATTGTTGATATCTTTCCAACCACTTCAACCCAAAAAGTCAATTGAATAATGTATTGTGTGTTCATGTGTTTTTGGACAGGCATTGGTTAATTGATAACTGACTGCCCTCCCACTAATTTGGCCTGCTAATTATGGGCAGGTGGTTAAAGGTGTGGGAGAGGCACATGGTTTTCAGTTTAGGCAAAGATGATGTGAGGAGTGTTTGCATCTTTTACACCTCCTCTCCATTTGACTTTTATATTTGTTTATAGCAATTTTAACTCTGCCTGTTTCAAGTCTATGTATTTATTATAGTTATGGAAAATAAAAGTCATATTTTTAAGTAAATCCCATTCCAGTCATATTTTCAATTTTTTCATGTGAAAAGCATTGGCTTTGTCAGTGTGTGATATGGTGTCTGTGTTTAGACAGGGGTCACCTAACTCATTCAACTCGGCCTGGGGGTCTAGCTCAGAACAAACAAACATTTTCAAAACCGAAAACAAAAATTATTAGACACGTTCAGGTAGTACAAAAGGTTGTTAGTTTGGTTCCCATTTTGTGCCTATTGACTACCATCTAGATCTTATTTGTTATTTGGGTAGAGCTTCCTATTGGTTGATTCTGGTACTTTCAAGAGGGAAACTCTGAGCTCAAAGAGTTTCCTAATCGGAAATGTCAGAGTTTCCTATTTCCGACTAGCACGTGAACTCGGCATCAGACTCAGGTTACTCCTCCTCACCTCATGAGTTCCTCCACTTTGTCGTCCACGTCTAGTTCCTCCTCGCTGGCCTCAAACCCGTAGCCTCTCCCCGTCACACCACCACTAACCGCACTGACAGGAAACCGTGGTGGAGACAGCTTTCCGTTCGTCATGGGAACCATCTCGCCACCGCCACCAACCCCACACCCGTTCTGAGCCACAGCTGCCATAGCAACAGGGGCAGATACAACCGCCAGAGGGGGCGGTGACATATCATAGTTGTTGCTAGGTGACGGCGACAGACCACTCTCACCACTCCCATTCCCCCGGTAACCAGTCTGTGTGGCGGTCGTAGACGTCGATGAGGACGCCACAACGTTATTGGACGAGGAAGAAGACATCGTATTAGCATTGCTGTTGGACGTCGGTCCCTGATCGGCAGGCTGGGGCTGCGTCTGGGGACGGCGTCCAAACTTGTGTCCGTGCTGGCGGTCCAGTCTGTCCAGGGTGTCCAGGGCGTGGAGGATCTCTGGCTTGGTCATGCCCGTCCTCCTCAGCCGCTGGAGCAGGTCAATCTGCTCGATGGTGAAGCGAGGCTCATCTGTGAACTGAGACATCCTGGACAGAGAGAAGAGGAGAGAGGAGTTGAAATGGAGTGAGAGAGAGGGGAAAGGATAGAAGGGATGGATGGAGAGAGGAGGGAGAGGAGTTTAGATGAGACATACAGGGATGGATGGAGATGGGGGGCTGTCGCTGTATTGTATATGACCCTGTCCAGAGAACAACTGCTAGCCCCTTCCCCTTGGGCACTGGTACAGATCAAATCGAATTGCATAACATTGCTTATGTCTTTGACCTAACCCATTAGTATGAGGGAGACCATGGCAGCTCTTACAAAAGATTACGCTGAGACACGAATGCACTCAGAAACACACAAACACATCATACAGCTTACAAAGAAGTACACACAAATGGAAATTCCAGAAGAAACACACTGTGCCGCACACACACGCACTTTATCTCCTCATCAGCTGCATGCTTAGAGAAGACTGGCTCAGCAGCTGCAGCCCAGATATGAAATGGATTATTCTATCAACCTCTTAGAGGGCTTTTAGAGAGAGAGAGAGAGAGAGAGAGAGAGAGAGAGAGAGAGAGGGGGGGGGGGGAATGAGGAAAAGGACATTAGAGAGGAAGAAGAGAGAGAGAGGAAGAGAGAGAGAAGAGAGGGAGAGATGTGGAAAGGGATGGGACATATGGATAGACTTAGATAGATGGTGCGAATGGGGGGAGGGTGAGAGAGATAGAAATAGAGAGAGAGACCAGACCGCCTGTGTGCGAGAGAGAAAGAGCTGACAGAACACATGCATGAGAGAGGGAGAGAATAAAGATTGAGAGGAGAAAGGGAGGGAGGGAGGAGGGGTTAAGAGAGAGTGCGACTTGGGAAAAATGCCAAGAAAATTTTCCATCCTAAGCGGCCAACCTCCATATTTTCCCTTTGAAGAGGGCGGGGATGAGTCATAGGACAGTGTATAGGATATCACACAGACAGACATCAGCCCTCAGGCAACCTTACATACAGTACTGTACATACACACACAGCCAGGACATACACACACAGAAATGAGACACACACGCTGCATGCTTAAAGAGAGCAGTACAGTACAAACAGCAGACAGCGACAGACAGGGTCAAAAAGAGTAGAGGGCACACACAAAGCCCTATGGGCCCTGGTCAAAAGTAGTGTACTATATACCAAATAGGGTGCCATTTGGGACGCTTCCTTTGAGACAGTGGCTAAATCAGAGTCGGAGGAAGGATACATTAACAGCTCGTGATCTTCATTTCACACTACATTCTCCTCTACAATGTCCTGATGTGGTCACATGATGGCTGCTGCACACATTCCACAATATGATTCTAAATCTACCGTCCTTAAAAAAAAACTCTGGAATATATAAGAGCCATACCTCCCCCTCTCTTCATCTCCCCCTCAAACTTTACAGTGCATTCTGAAAGTATTCAGACCCCTTGACTTTTTCCACATTGTGTTACAGCCTTATTCTAAAATGGATTAATATGTTTTGTTTCTCCACTTCAAATATACACACAATACCCAATAATGACAAAGCGAAAACAGGTTTTTAGACATTTTAGAAAAATGTATTAAAAATAAAACAATTCCAATATCACATTTACATAAGTATTCAGACACTTTACTCAGTACTTTGTTGAAGCACCCTTGGCAGCGATTACAGCCTCGAGACTTCATGGGTATGACGCTACAAGCTTGGCACACTTGTATTTGGGGAGTTTCTCCCATTCTTCTCTGCAGATCCTCTCAAGCTCTGTCAGGTTGGATGGGGAGCGTCGCTGCACAACTATTTTCAAGTCTATCCATAGATGTTCGAACAGGTTCAGGTCCGGGCTCTGGCTGGGCCACTCAAGGACATTCAGAGACTTGTCCCGAAGCCACTCCTGCATTGTCTTGGCAGTGTGCTTAGGGTCGTTGTCCTGTTGGAAGGTGAACCTTCGCCCCAGTCTGAGGTTCTGAGCGCTCTGGAGCAGGTTTTCATAAAGGATCTCTCTGTACTTTGCTCCGTTCATCTTTCCCTCTATCCTGACTAGTCTCCCAGTCCCTGCCGCTGAAAAACATCCCCACAGCATGATGCTGCCACCACCATGCTTCACCGTAGGGATGGTCCTATGTTTCCTCCAGACGTGACGCTTGGCATTCAGGCCAAAAAGTTCAATCTTGGTTTCATCAGACCAGAGAATCTTGTTTCTCATGGTCTGAAAGTCTTTAGGTGCATTTTGGCAAAATCCAAGCGGGCTGTCATGTGCCTTTTACTGAGGAGTGGCTTCCGTCTTGCCACTCTACCATAAAGGCCTGATTGGTGGAGTGCTGCAGAGATGGTTGTCCTTCTGGAAGGTTCTCCCATCTCCACAGAAGAACTCTGGAGCTCTCTCAGAGTGACCATCAGGTTCTTGGCCACCTCCATGACCAAGGCCCTTCTCCCCTGATTGCTCAGTTTGGCCGGGCGGCCAGCTCTAGGAAGAGTCTTGGTGGTTCCAAACTTCTTCCATTTAAGAATGATGGAGGTCACTGTGTTCTTGGGGACCTTCAATGCTGCAGAAATGTTTTGGTACCCTTCCCCAGATCTGTGCCTCAACACAATCCTGTCTCGGAGCGCTACAGACAATTCCTTCAACCTCAAGGCTTGGTTTTTGCACTGACACGCACTGTCAACTGTGGGACCTTATATAGACAGGTGTGTGCCTTTCCAAATCATGTCCAATCAATTGAATTTACCACAAGTGTACTCCAATGAAGTAGAAACATCAAGGATGATCAATGGAAACAGGATGCACCTGAGCTCAATTTCATAGTAAAGGGTCTGAATACTTCTGTAAATAAGGTATTTCTGTTTTTAATACATTTGCAAAATTTTCTATAAACCTGTTTTAACTTTGTCATTATGGAGTTGTGTGTGTAGATTGATGAGGACATTTTTATTTATTTAATCCATTTCAGAATAAGGCTGTAACGTAACAAAATGTGGAAAAGGGGAAGGGGTCTGAATACTTTCCGAATGCACTGTAGGCTTAGGCTAGGTCCCAAAGCTAAAGTCTAGGGAAAACTAGTCCATTTTTGCTCTAGCCCAGCGCAAACACGCCTGATTTGACTAATAATCAACTAGGCTAATCAAGGGCTTGACTAGTTGAATCAGGTGTGCCAGCTAGGTGTGGGCAGGAACAAAAAGGTACCCAGGACCTTGACTTAGAGAAGCCATGTCATATAGTCAGTCTGTAATACAAGTCAACGTGCTGCTCCTTTAGTTCAGTAAAACAAGTTTCTCCACAAATCCTCCTCCTCCTTAACCTTGTTGTCTTCCTCTGGTGCAGAGGCTCTGAGCCTGGCCCAAGCCCCAGGGAGGACAGAGGTTTAATACTGCTGACTTAAATAGCACTGGTCAATTCTCTTTATACAGTAGATCACTGCTCAGCAGAAAGGCTGGAGGGGAAAAGGGATGAAGGGAGGGAAGGACTGGGTGGATGGATGGAGGGATAGAAAGAGAGAGAGAAAGACACATCTATGCCCTGAGAGCCTCATGGCTTTTAACGTTTCTGAGTGTCAGATCTGACTCAGCAGAAAAAACATTAACTCTCACACATACACTGAGTGTGTTTGGGTCTGAGTGACTTATTAAACAAGTGGACGCAACTATTAGCATATTACAATTGTGAAACGACTGTACAATATTTGTTCTGTAAACTGCAACGCCAAGGAAATGATCGTCCTTAGGAGCAAAATAACTTAGCCTGCAGCTACACATTTTTCCATGCCTAATCAACCATTCCAAGCTTGTAACATGTGTAGTTGAATCCTTAGGGCCCCTAAAAAAGGTTAGGAGCCAGGAAGTAATATATTTACCCAGGTGCAGAAGGAAGCAGCCAGCTAGCAGCTTCACATCAAACTTTCCCTGACTCCCTTTGCCTAGAAACCTTTTGGGTTACTAGGTGTCTGATGAAAAGTGGATACTGGTCAATTTGGGTGTCTGCGCTGCTGGTTTTGTATTGGGAAACGAGTCTTGCAACACAGAGCCTACACAGGGAAATCAAATGGGTAACCTGTATAATGATCTACAAATTAGGACAAGAGGAAACATTTGCATGCGAGCAATTCCATGATAACGGAATTACCCTTTGACTCAGATTATTCACTTTAAAATGTGTGCCAAACAAAAAACATTGATTTAAAAGTTTAACAAACCATGCAGTGGTGTAGTGGTGCCTGGAGAAGTGGGTATAATCTACGGCCCGCCCGGTGATGGCACCCTGTCTGCAGAATTCTATGAGAAACAGTGACACTCTGAACAACCTAAAATGATCAATCCCATATTGGTCTTTCACAGTCAGGCCAACCCAAGCTGTACTGTGCAAGTGGGCTAATAGTAGGCCTACTATTGAAACAGATAAATGAGGCTGTCAACTGAGTCAGAAATGTACAGGTTTCTCAAAGTCAGACTTGAATAGAAAAACAACAAAATTGGATGTTCTAAGTCGATAACAATGCTTAAACCACATCAAGAGACCACTTTTGAGGTCTGGGAAAAATCTAAGAAAATTAGATGTTTTGTGTAGTTACCCTTTAATTCAAGTGTGCAGGCACCAAGCACTGTTGTTTGGTTAGCTGTGTTTCTGTAGTGCATGAGATGGAGTTTAACAGGTAGGCATTGGCTACTTTGTAGCTAATTAACATTTAATTGAATAGGTTTTTGGGAAAGCCTTTCCATCTAACAGAAGATGGTTAGGCCTATCATTAGCGTCGCTATATTTTTTCTGTTCCTTAATTGTGTGAAACCTGGATGTTTTACTTCATATCTGAGGCATGTCTTGCCTGGCTTCACAGTAGTCTATCGCCAAAATCCCACCATAGAAACGTGGAGGCAATTATTTTATAAAGACTTCCTCATATGCATTCTCCTGTTCTATTGGTTTTCTTTCCACTTTCTATAATTGTCTAGCAGCCAACGGCATTATCCTAATCATATTAGCAACCATGATAGTTTTATCTTTAGATCTCCGCTCTTTCTAAATTTCGAACGGATATTTCCATCTCTGT